GAAAATTTCCCATGGAGCAGCCTCCTCAACTAGCTCTTAAGCCTCAACATGAAATCCCATCATTCTTCAATCCAAGAAAAGGGAAACCAGAAGTTACTTATTAAATAACTCTTGAAGGCATAAAAATTCTAAACTTGTAAACTCTCCTTCAAACTGAAACCCGAACTATAAGATTTCAACACAAGAAAAATAACAAAAATGAATCTTAAACCAAAAAAAATTGGGCAAAAAATTGGAAAAGAAAGCAACATAAATTTCCTCTAGAGATTTGCTGTACTTTAATCTGTTAGTAAAAGGAAAATTGGAAATTACCAGATTCTGTATTCAAGCCTTAGTTCAGTACTCATGCCCTCACTTTTTTCAGATTATAACTTTACTGTTGGATAGGATCGATGTTTTGGACAGTTGCTAACAGCAACTATGTCCATGGTGATTTGTTCTTCTCTATTTCATTTTTTTTTTTTACAGGAATGGTGGAAATGGGGGTTCACTGATGTTATTTGTATAGACCATGGGTATGCAAAATGTATTTTGTTTGCCTTGTGGCTTGTTAATGAAAATCTCACCTTGCTTACCATAAAAAAAGCCTTCCCAAGTTGATCATGCAATCGCGATAAAAACCCCTATAGCTTTGAGCCTAATAGAGTTGTATTTAAAAAAAAAAAATTATGCTAATGTTAAAGAGAAATTTAAACAAAGATTTATTGTACATTAAGGGATGAGCACATACTTGATCCTCTCAAGTGCTTGCATAAAAGATAGGGTCAGGGTCAGAGACTCACTTTCACATAACATGTCTTTGTTACATATACATACATACAGATATATATATATATATATATATATATATATATATATTATAGTTAAAAGTTTATGGTGGTAATTAGTTTTGTAATTTCAAAAATTAAAATTATATCATCTTTTCACGTGTATGTGATTATAAAAGTATTGGGATAAGCTGGTAAACTTGCATCAAACTATTGAAGATGTAAGGGCTATGATTGAAAGTTAATTTTGATCAGAGTTCAAATGCATGTGTGTGAGAAGAGGAACTACTACAGTAAGTAACTGTTAAAGAGCATGAGATTTGTGCCGCCCTGTGAATGTGTATGAAGTGAGAGAGTACAGTAACAGTTTAACAGCATGAGTTTGTCCTATCTTGTAAATGTGTATGGAAAGAGAGAGATAAATAGCATGATATTTGTGCTTTCTTGTGAATGTGTGTGACTAGTATGTAACTCAGCCTATATATATATATAGTCAAGACTAAATGCAAAAGAACAAGAAATGTAGCAGAGGTAATAAATGAGAGTTTTTTTTAGCATAGTGCTTGTTCATGTTGTATATGAGAATTGGAGGAAACAAAACAAGTTGGTATCATTAATCAGTTTGTTTAATTTCCTCCAATATCTCATCTCCGACTTCTGAACTGATCAACAAAATTTAATGCTGTTCAAGTTGTATGTGAGAATTGGAGGACGCTAAACAAGTCTCTACTAAATTTTGGTGCATTTTGTTTAGTTTCCTCCAATATCTCATCTCCAACTTCTGAACTTTAAATTGACTGATGATTTAGTGGTGTTCAAGTTGTATGTGAGAATTGGAGGACACTAAACAAGTTTGTAGTAAATTTTGGTGCAATTTGTTTGGTTTCCTTCAATATCTCATCTCCAACTTTTGACCTATGAATCGATTGATGATTTGATGGTGTTCAAGTTGTATGTGAGAATTGGAGGAAGCTAAACAAGTCCGTGCTAAATTTTGGTGCAATTTTTTTAGTTTCCTCTAATATCTCATCTACAACTCCTGAACTGATGGAAGATTTAGTGCATGACTGCCATGTACAAGTCTGGAGTGATAGTATAGTAAGTGCAATGTACAAGTCGTATGTGAGAATTGGAGGATACTAAACAAATCAGTGCTAATCTTGCACAATTTGTTTAGTTTCCTCCAATACCTCATATCCGACTATATACGTTTTCTTCTAGCCCAATGTGAGAAGTGGACACCAAACACATCACTGCTAAATCTTGTGTTTTTTTTTTTTTTTTTTTTTTTTTTTTTTTTTTTTTTTTTTTTTCCTACACTTTCCTCCTGAATTTTGCCACTGACTTTGAAGATTGAAGGTATAGTATGTGTTCAATTTATGATGGGCGTATCTTTTGAAGCAGACTACTATGAGACAGGAAATTGGTTGATGACTGAAGAAATCATACCAGCAAAGTGAAAACAGTTGCTTTAAGTCTCATATACCAGTTGTGATGGTGGATCTCCCAAACCTTTCCAAATGTACAGTGACGATGACATTGAAGCTCTATAGTTGAGGGGAAAAAATTCCATGGAAGTATGGAACAGCCTCCTCAACTAGTTTTTAAGCCTTAAAATGAAATCCCATCATTCTTCAACCCAAGAAAAGGAAAACCAAAAGTTGAAAAAAAGAAAAGAAAAGAAAAGAAAAGCAACATAAATTGCCTCTATAGATTAGCTGTTGTTTAATCTGTTAGTAAAAGCTTTCTACTAGTGAAAGGACAAACTATCCCTAATTTGAGCTACCTACCATTCCTTTCTTATTATCTTCTCTCATAACTTTCTATTTCACTCAAAATTTTCTCTGAAATTTTCAATCCCTCGGCTCTCTGTTCTCCATTCCGTCAAGTAATGGATCTCTTCCACAACATCAGAATCAGAGTCGTTGCCTCTAGCAACACAAGTACAAAAAATACTTTAATGCTCAGTTTTATTTGCTGTTCAGGTCTACTGGAGTTCAGTGTACATCCTTCCCAAAAGGATATTGAACAGATTTTAGAGGAAATCCTTTTGGAAATGCACTTTTTTAGCTACTGGTAGTGCTAAAATATCTTGTAATGATATTTGCTTGCCTAAAAATGAGAGTGGAATTGAAGTTAAAGATCTCGATTTGTACATGGAACAAGGCTTCTATTGCCAAGCATTTCGGAAATATTACTGCTGCAAAACTCCCTCCAGAAGCTAATGTTTATGTGTCGTGGAACGAAAGAAACCAGAGAATCTATACATTCAAACAACTATAGCCATTCCTGATGATCAATGGCTACAAAAGGAATGATGATTACTAGATTCTGTATTCAAGCCTTAGTTCGGTACTTATACCCACCGGTTTTTTTGGTTGCTCACATGGTTCTGTCTATAGATGCTATTCCTTTGCTACAGGAATGGTGGAAATGGGGGATTCACTGATGTTATTTGTATAGACCTGGGGTATGCCCCATGTAAAATGTATCTTGTTTGCCTCGTAAACAAAAAAAAAAAAAAAAAAAAAAGCCTTCCCAGTTTGATCATGCAATCATAATAAAAGCCCCTATAGCTTCGAGCCGACTTATATTGAAAAAAGAAAAATAAATTATGCTAATGTTAAAGAAATTTAAACCAACGTTTATTGTACAGTAAGGGATAAGCACATGCTCCATCTAGGTTTCTCTCGAGTGCTTGAAAGTTTCATATACATTGTCTTAGTACAAATTCTGTTACATATACATTCTAAAGTTTAAAGGGGTAATTAATTTTGTAATTTCGAAATTTTACAATAATAATATTGGGATAACGTGGTAAACTTGCATCAAATGATCTTGGACAGAAAGTTATTTTGATGGGAGTTCAAACTTGTGTGTGTGAGAAGAGAGAGTACAACAGTAAATCAGTAACAGTTTAATAGCATGAGATTTGACCCACCTTGTGAATGCATATGGAGAGGCAGAGAGTACAGTAACAGTTTAATAGCGTGAGATTTGTCCCACCTTGTGAATGTATATGGAGAGATAGAGAGTACAGTAACTGTTTTAATGGCATGAGTGTCCTATCTTGCGAATGTGCCTGTGGAGAGAGAGAGAGATTAATAGCATGAGACCTGTGCTATTTTAAGGGAGGGAGGGAGGGAGGGAGGGAGAGAGAGAGAGAGAGAGAGTGCGTGTGTGTGTGTGTTCGTGTGTACTACAGTAACAGTGTAATAGCATCAAATTTGTGCTCTTGGTAACAAAACCTATATATATAGTGAAGCCTAAATGCAAAAGAAGCCAGAAATGTAGTAAAGGTAATAAATGAGACTTGGAGGAAGCTCAATCCCTCGAGGCTCTCCCATCTTTTTGAAGCTTTTTTTACCATTGTGGTTGTTCAAGTTGTATGTGAGAATTGGAGGAAACTAAACAAATTGATGTCATTAATCAATTTGTTTAACTTCCTCCAATATCTTATGTCCGACTTCAAAACTAATTGATGATTTAATGGTGTTCATTTATTTGTGTTCAAGTTGTATGTGAGAATAGGAGGACTCTAAACAAGTTGGTAATAAATTTTGGTGCAATTTGTTTAGTTTCCTCCCATATCTCATCTCCAACTTCTGAACAATTGATTGACGATTTGATGGTGTTCAAGTAATATGTGAGAATTGGAGGATGCTAAACAATTTAGTACTAAATTTTGGTGCAATTTGTTTAGTTTCCTCCAATATCTCATCTACGACTCCTGGACTGATGGAAAATTTAGTGCATGTTACCTCATGTTCAAGTCGTATGTGAGAATTGGAGGATACTAAACAAATTAGTGCTAGTCTTGTACAATTTGTTTGGTTTTCTCCAATATCTCATATCCAACTTCTGAACAAGATACAGTTTCCTTGAGCCTCCAAATGTTAGTACATAACTGCTAAATCTTGTTTTGTTTCTGCAGTTTCCCTCCTGTATCTTCCCACTGACTTTGGAGATTGAAGGTAGAGTGCGTGTTCAAGTTATAACGGCTGCAGTGAGTATTCTTACAAAGCAGACTACTAGTGATAAAGGAAATTGGTTGATGACACTTACCATCAAAGTGAAAACAATTGCTTCAAGTCTCAGACATTGTGATAGTTGTCTCCTCCCAAAAACTTTCAAAATGGTTCAAGAGAATAACATAGTACAGTGCATTGACATTGAAGCTGTAGAGCGAGGGAAAAACTCCCATTAAATCCATCAATCCTCAACCCAAGAAAAGGAAAAGCAAAAGTTACTTATTGAATAATTTTTGAAGACATAACAATTCTAACCTCATGAACTCTCCTTAAAACTGAAACCCGATCTGTTATATTTCAACACAAAAGAAAAAAGAACAAAAATGAATCTTAAGCCCCAAAAATGTAGGAAAAAAACCAACATAAATTAGGAGTAAATAAAATTGTAACCTATCTATCGTCCATCAATGCTCAAAGGTGCACATTAAGAACTTAGTTTCTTCTACTTAGTTTCTTCTACGCATCTTCCTCATTCTCTACCAATATCCTCTTGCACGCTTCATAGCACATGAATGAAATCCCGGCAGCAGGCACCAACTTCATGCAGCTGGGACCAAGCCCTTTATACAAACCCTGAATTCCTTCCTGTTCAAGTATGCTTGAGAGAGCGTGAAACACGTTCTTGTACACTTGTCTTCCACTAATAGCCCCTACCTGCATGTGTTTGCGGGCCACCTCTAGCGGGAAAGTTGCACTACTTGAGATGGCACCAGCTGCAGAACCAATCAATAAGGTCTCAATGTTGCCAATTTTTTCTTGCTTGAAAATTTTCCGGTAGGCTTTTCGTAGTGTGTCATAAGCGAAGTAATTGGTAGCAGCATATGGAACTACTCCGATAAGACTAGGGGTTAGACCTCTGTAGAGCTCCCCAGGTCCCCCCTCTTGCAATATTTTTATGAATGCATCTAATAGACCATTGTAAACATCCCTCTGCATATCCAACAAAACCAGCCAAATAGAGATAAATGATAAAATGGTAGATTCATGACTGAACTCTTGAGTAGATATGTTGAATGAACCACATAGTCAGAAAGAATCGGATTTACCTGTATGGTTAGACGAGTCTTGACTAATTCAAGTGGATATGTAACCAGAGTGGAGCTAACTCCAGCACAAGCCCCTGCAACCAGCGAGGCAGGGATAGGGATTCTGGGCGGCTCCCCAGGTTTTGGTGACAAGTTCTTGTTGACTGTATCATAAGCAAATAGCTGCAGAGAGCAAAATAATTGAATTTCAGTGAAGATTTAAGTGACATGCACTCTATGATTATAACCGTTCTAAAATATCTATCTGCTAGATGAGTAAAGGTGGAATTCCGAGCTTACTTTTATTCTGATTTAGACTCAACCAAACAAGAAGTATAATGCAATTATACTTATAAGGAAGAGATGTATAGTACACTTCGTATTGAGTGGCACGTAGACAAAATTTGACATGGGCAAGATTAATCCAAATAATGATCAAAGAAGACCAGAAGTCTTGAGCCAAAACTACTTTGGTTGCAACAAAGCCCAGTTATAGAGTTCATAATGCAAACTCCTACAACTTGCAAAACGTCAAGTAGCAGAATATTGTAAATGAAAAGAGAGAAAAAATATTGGAGAGAGAGAGATGAATTGAATTATATGCAAAACTGATAAATCCACCTTGGCACCCTGAGCCCAACGAAAACATCCATTTCAGATCACAGGAAACATAACTTTTATGCAACATATTAACAGGTGAAACTGAATAATCAAAGGTTTAAATACAGCATCAAACCATATAGAAACAAGGTGAAAAGTAAACCAGCTACTCGAGGTAAAGCAATGTATGTCATGCCTTTTGGAAGTATATGAGTTTTGCCATTGTTTGATGCAGTTGTTTGAGTTGCATAGCAGGAAAATGCAGGTTCAAGAGTGAGGAGAGCCACATCGTACAAATAATGGCAAAAATTAGGTACATACCTAATCTATCCCTCCCAGAACACTCGATTTTTTAGGATCAACACTGGATAATGGCTTTGTTATTTTAAAACAGATATAGATTATGAGGAAATTTTCCAAGGAAAAATGTGCATATATATATATATATATATACATGCACACCAATATGCTTTAATGGTGGATTATAAAGTTGATACCCTGACCTTGGAGACATGTAGTTGAAGGTGAGTCATTTGGGTACCATCTTATTGGCCTGGGATTGAACAAAGTAAACAGCAAATCTTGATACGAGGGGGGAAAAATGATTTTTTTCAACTAAGATATGAATAATGTTGAAGTAAACCAAAGATGGATTGGCCATTTACCTACTAGAGAGTAGATTGATATGCCATTTCCATTATCATATTGGCATGGAAGTAGCAGTGCTGGTAAAACATAAAATATAGAAGAAATTCAGAACATAGTCTATTTCAAAAGGAACTATGATGCAACTTCTTCAAACCAAATAATTTCTATATGCTTTTAAAAAAAAAAAACAAAAAATGCCATAACCATCCATGAGGTATAAAAACCTGTTGTCACTTAATGCTATTAATAGAAAACATACTAAATTTGAACATACAGAACTTGTAAAATTAAAAACGCAAAGCAAAGAAAAAAATCAAATGAACTTATAGCTTTCCATATAAACGTAACTTGTTTGTGAGCCTTATAGGGTAGAAATATGACAACACAGAACAAGCACGTATAATTATAACTATTCCTCTGTTATAGTACTTGCATTTTTATGTACATAAATATATGCATATACACATATATAAACAATAAAAAACTAAAATCTCTCAATAAAATGGAAATACTGGGAAAAAAAATTTTAACAAATGAAATGTGAGCCAGCTGTATGATTCCCGTTTTTTACCAAATTCTCAGTTTTCAGGCTTAAAAAGTGTGACTATATTTTCTGCATTGATCATCTGCCTACCACAACATTCCTCTCCTCAGGCTTAGGACTGGCCACAGAAAAGACAACACAAGAAGCACAAATATAAGGAGGACCTTAAACTGGGAGGATAACATTATAGAGGATGTTGCAAATATAACTAAAGGGGATTGTATGAAGCAGTAAGCAACCAACTTACACTACTTGAAACAAAACGATTAGTTTTAAAGCAACAATAGATATGGTCATGCTTTATGAGACTGAGTGCAAGGTACTAAAGGAATATGTTTATAAAATGAGCATCGTTGGAATTCAAGTGTCAAGATCAACAGTGAGGATTTAGATGTTGCATGAGGAGAGATGAAACTGGGAAATCTTGAGATGATTTGGCCACACACGACAATGATCAATATATGCACAAGTGAGGAAGAGTGAAGTGGTCCACATTATGAATGCCCTAATGGTGTGGTGAAGACAAAAATTAACCCCAAGGGGTTGGCTCAAGTGGGTAAGTCCCTTAGTCCTGGTGCAAAAAAAAAAGACAATAGAAGAGTCATGCTCTTTCTCTCTCTAGAAAAACAGAAAAATAAGAAGGTCCTGATTTATTATCTTAGAACTAAGTTTACTATTCACTTCATTTTTTTCCAAAATAAATAGTTAATATATACAATTTTCTGAGTTCCTTAATAATTTTAACTTCCATAAAAATAGTTGGAGATTACTTTTAAAATGCATTCATGGTACTTTCCCTAAATAACTGTCAGTCTCACAGGTTTAAGTAGTGAAAACATAACAACTGACAAAAATAAAAAGGAACAATCAAAGCAGTTTCAATAGTACCAACAATCTCAAGCTTACGAAAACAATCAATTAGAGAAACAGAACACAAAATTAAACCAGCAAATAAATAACAGTTACTTAAAGAAGATGGAACTGAAAAAAAAGCTAATAAATAAAAAGAAAAAAGAGTTATGAGCAAACATAATGTTCTACTGGATTCTCAACCTAGCTATCTCAATGCGTAAAAATAAAAAATAAAAACTAATAATAATAATAATAAAAGGGTCATGATTTCTGGATTCCCAAGCAAGAACCAACATCCAAATCCAACAAATTTGAGTCAATTCAATCACATAAACCAACAATTAATAATCATACAAAGTAGTAAATCAACTGCAACATTCTGATTAGGCAAAAACAAAACCAAACAAAATAAACCAATGCAAACTAAAACCACAAGATTTAAACTTTCACCTCTATAGCTTTGCTTGGTGCAACACGGAGGACATTAATCAAATTGCCTCTAAACAATCCTTTCCAACCATCAATCTTCATAATATTATTGAACACTTCAGTAGTAGAATGGCCACTACTACCAACCATCAGATGTGTCCTAATAGTCTCCAATGGGGCAACCGTAGTCCGCGACACCGCCCCAGCAATGGCACCACTTATCAATCTCCTCAATGAAGGATTCTTAACCTTAACCTTAAATTTAAGGCCAACCCTCTTTTTCTTCACACTACTTTCCTCCATAGCCATCTCTGGAATACCAACAATCCGAGGACCCTCAGGTGAGGACACATACTTCACATACAAATCGGTAAAAGGTAGCTTCAGGGCATCATCGTTGTCTCTGGAATTTGGTGAATTCGGCGAAATGTCAAAACCCATACTGCCAAATTGATTAACACTTGCAAATAAGCCTCCGGGATGGAAGGAACCCTCTTGAAGACTCCATTGAAGCCCCATCTCAGAACCAGAGAAAACCCCATCTTTTTTTCTATCAAAAACTTGCATTTCTCTTCGACCCATTATTCCACACTTCGTGAATAAAGCTTTTTTTTAGGGTTCAAAGGATACCAAAACCCATCTTTTTCATGGTTTCAAGCATTTTGACAGGGTTGCAGAAGCAAAATATTAGATTTGGGCCATATGGGTCTTCAGGAAATCCATTTTTGGCAATTGGGTATTTGAGAAAATTGACGAATAGATTCGAACTCTTGCAAAGCACGAAGCAAGTAGACCAGAGAACGGGAAAACCAATGATGAATGAGGAATGTGAGATAGAGAGAAAGGCGGCGAAATCTGGAGAGGGTTCTGTGAGGAAGAAAAACGAGAAACAGGTTAGCTGTCTGCTTCCCCTTTCCTACCCCCACAAGAGAGAGAATAGGTGGAAGGCGAACCTGCCCGAGTGTATATTTTATATGTGGACCTCAGATATAGATATATATAGATATATATTGCTGTGTGTTTGTTTTGTGACTTTTGTCCCTTGTTGTGTTGGAGGCTCGGAGCACGAGGAGTTTTAGGTCGTGTTTGGATTAAGGTCGTGTTTGGATGACCAGTAACTATCAGATTAGGAGGTATATGTACTTCGGTTTGGAGATTGACGTAATAAGCTAAAGTATTTGGGTAAACTACGTTGAACTCCCCTCATGTTGTTTGGGCAAATTACATATAGGAACGTGGTTTTGAGTTTATTATTTTGATCTCCTTAGATATCTGATGTCTTTTTCTTTTAAGGAGAGACTTATTGACCAAATTTTATAAAATATCAATTTTACATTTCCCCATGAACAAATTTAGAAGAGGTTGAGGTAATAAAAGTTGAACGGTTTACTCATTTGTAATTTACTCAAACTTTAGGGGATGTCACCCAAAAATACAAGAAGGAATAGGAAAAGAGTGTTTATCTGGTCGCAAAACACGTGCCGGAGCCTTTAAAATATGAATTGGGGCTAATTTAGCCAAAGTATTTAGAATGATTATATAAAAACTTCCAGAGTTTTGATTAGACCAAATCACATGGTCAAGGAACCACACTTCATAATTAGACTGTTTTGGAAAATGATTTTTACACAATTGTAAAGACTCTTGTTTTTAATTGGTCAACTATGTCATAAATAAGGGAGTATCCCCTACGGTTGCTTGTATTTGGTATAAATAACTAATAAAAACAATCATTAATCAATTCACTACAGCTCTTCAAAATGAGTATCAGTACTTGGATTGTTTTTATTTCGCTGATTTAGATGGTCATTAGTTCACTTTTCATGGTTTGGGCGAATGCAATTTTTACCACAGGAATTCAATTTATATAACTAAATTTGTTACAGTCTCACAGCAAAATAGAACACCTATATTATCATATAAGCATTAATTACTTACACTATTACTCAATGATTAATTATTTAAATTGCACGTGTGTCCCAGCTGTATGGCATTACTATATTACCATATATAAAATATACCACTAAAAAACTTTCAAATTAAAGAATATTAGGCATTACTATATTACCATATATAAAATATACCACTAAAAAACTTTCAAATTAAAGAATATTACAAATAAACCATGCATCTATTAGTAACAAAGTTTTTATATATATATATATATATATATATATATATATATCATTAATGAAATAAATAATAATAAATATATTTGTTTATAAATTTAAATAAATAAAAAAAATATAAAATATACATATGTCGTGACTTCGCTCCTGCTCCATGTGACTAGAGTCATTATTTGGCTGAAGTAAAGACAAATGAAAAAGAAAAGAAACCAAATGCATCAAATTTTGTGTTGGGTGGTGCAACTCATGAGATCATCAAATTCATAAAACTTGTTTCCTCTGTGGATTCAGTGTATTGACCACTTTATGTAGAGCTAACTATGTTGTTTGAGGACACCAACATTGACCCCCGACCAAATAACTCAAAAGTTTAATCTAATTTGCACTAATTAAACATGCTTTAAAAGACGTAGGCCCCAAGTTTTAATGATATTGTTTCTTTAAATTTAAATATCATTTTATATTATGAAGGACTAATTAGAGAAAACACATACATATATATGTTATATATATATAATGGTAGGTAGAATGGCACTCATTCACATACTTTAACCAATCTCCTACCTTTTGTTTTTTTGAGAGATGAAAGAGATATAAAGATCCACACAAAAGCGCACTACTGGCTGGTATGGTTGGTACTCTGGCTTAAAAAATGTTTCAAGAGGTGGCTAAGACTTACTAGTTTGGGCCTAGTTCAGTCCTAACCTAGACTGGGCCGAGACATGGCCCAATTATTTCATTGAGCAGACCTGGCTCGGCCCATGGGCACTTCTACTTCTAGGTAATGTGAAGTCCATAAACATGGCTAATATTGTTGAATATTGCCAAATTTGGCTAGCTTTCCTTACTTTACACTCATAGCTGTCACAGGCTTGTACCAGTTCTAGTAGTGTTCGTTTCTGTATTACACTACTTTGAAGCCCAATTAACATGTTATTTCTGTTACTAAAAATAATGTTATAATCCTAGGGAATTCTCCGATAGTTTCGGTGATGTATTATGGTTCTAAGAATATATACAACGGTGACATCAATTAAGGAGAATCAACATCCTCGCTCTGGCATAAGTCATTCGCACTTGCTCACACACAACTCATTCATGACTCGCCTTACATGATTAATTTAGAACTCATCCTCCGATGAGTCTTTCATGAGTCACCCAAATTCAATTCACTTACCTTTTAAGTTGAACGGTTATTAGGTTACTCATTATTGAAACAAATAAATATTAGACTTTTGGAGGCCATGACATTAACTATTTTTTTTTATGTTACCTAAAACATTTATATCACATAATATTTAATTAAAATGCTTATAAAATAGCTCATATTTATAGTTGTTAATAACGTACAAACGAAATTTATGGTGAATAAGTAACGGGCAAATATGTTATAAGCTTATGGTAAAAAGGATAATTCATATAAACCATCAAGTCAAATCATTGTCAAAGAAAGCTGACTTTTTATGTATTTTCTCAAATCTTAATAAATTAAAAAGGTGTGTTTGCTACTAATTGAGAAGTTTTTTAAAATAAATGATGTTCAAACTTCAAAGACTTTTTGAATGGTGGATTGATCGCCGACTAACTGAAGGACAATTTGATTTTTGAAATGGGAAGAGTTTATAGTTAGTAGACTATATGGAGATGCTTAGATTGTGTATAGACTCAACTTTCCTAACTTGCAACACCATCATTAGAGTCGAGGATGACCACCATATCTACTCGGTTTAGACTGAACACCTTTCAAGTGAGTTTGTCCAAGCGAGCGTTTAGATTTGACTGTAATACTAACTGTAACGGATTACATGTGTTGTATATCCACTCATTTATGCTTATTTCACTTTTCATTCAGATCTGATGTGAAACAGATCTAATAACTAGTCCATTATATATCAACTCAAGAATAAAATCATATTCTTCTTATATTTCTCTTCTTTGCGAACAAGATTCTTGAGAATTTTTAATTGAATTCATTTTGTTCCATTCCGAGAATTTAAAGAAGGTTTTGTACCCATAGGATAAGAATGGAATATTCTCAAGGATGAGAACATGTCTATTCCCCTGTAAAGCTAAGAAAGACAGCCATTAAAATATGATTGAACATGGTAGATTGGAGTTTGTCATGCCCAATTAATTTTGAAAAGGTATTGTCAAAGGTTATAGACAAAACCCCCACCTACACTAACTCAGCTGAACCATTAATTGCTTTTAGTTCCAGCCCCAATTTCAGGGTTCCTTTTCCCACCATTTCAGTGCATCAAGTCAACCCTAAAGGTTCGATATGTCTCAATTATGAAATTAAAATGCCCTTCAGCACTGTGTAATCATGACTAAATATGATTTTCAATCATCAATTTTGGCACCTATATTTTGGTTGCAGCGAAATTGAAGGAGAACAAAACCAGAATCTTTTAACAGCTATTCTCGTACCTAACCTGCATGTTACTCCACAAAAAGGCCTGTTTAATTCCTAAACAGTTGGTGCTGGCCCCAGTCCTGTCCACTATAGTGGTGAATAAAGGTGTACATTCCATTGGACATCTATTGAGGTTTTGTGGAGTCGGGATTATGTTCTAGAAGACTTGGGCCGCTCCAACTTTGGCAGATAGTTGAGAACGGTGATTTCGTCAAGTTATAGCGGTCCAACTTTCTTAAAAATTGCAAAATTTTGTTTTTTATACTATTATGGACTCCTAATTCGAAAGGCCTGGACCTGTGCATGGGACAAGTTGAATTCCTTTGTTGGGGGGTGGGGTGGGTCCCTATCTTCTTCCACCACAATTACATCTGTCTTTCACCACTATCACCACCACCACCACCGACTTCCACCATTACTACCGCCTTCCACCGTCGCCCACCGCTTTCCAACCACCACCGCCATCGTCTTTTACTACCGTTACCACTTTCCATCGCCACCGCCTTTCACCACAACCACCATCTTCCACCATCGCCTTTTTCTACCGCCACCACCTTCCACCGCCGCCATCGCCTTCCACCACCGCCACCTTCCATCACTGCCACCACCACCGCCACTATTGTCACCGCCTTTCACCACAACCACCATCTTCCACCACCGTCTTTCTCTACTGCCACCACCTTCCACCACCCACCATTGCCGCCATCGCCTTTACCACAGCTACTGCCTTCCATCGCCACCACCTTCCATCACCACTACTGCCACTCCCTTTCAAACCTGCCACCGCCTCCATTGCCTTCTACAACCACTGCCGCCAACTCCACTGCATTCCACCACCGCCACAGTCACCTCCATTGGCTTTCACCACAGCCACTCACACCATTATCTCCTTCCACCATCACCCCCACACTACTACCACTGCTTCCCACCAACACCACTGCAGCCTTCCACCAACACCGTTGTCGCCGCCTTCCACCAACCGCCTTCCACCATTGCCACCACCGCCGCCTTCTAACATCACCACCTACGCCACTACCGCTCTCCACCTCCACCACCGCCACTGCCACCGGCCATTTATTTTTAAAAAATTATAGAATAATATCATTTTGTTAATTTAATTTATTTGTTACTAAGAAGGATATTTTAGAGAACGCTATTTGAATTTTATTTCATTCTAAATTTTAAATTGGTCCAACCAAATACTAGAATGGTTATTATCATTCCATTCTTACACATTCATATTTATAACCAAAAAATAGAATAAGAATGATCATTCAATTTCCATTCCATTCCCATTCTCATTTCATTTCATTCTCATTCTCATTCTCACTTACATTCCATTCCATTTTTACACACAAATGCACCATAAAGGTTGCATTCTCAATATCATTCTCTTTTTTCTTTTCTTCTCTCTAGCTTTCTTTTTTTTCAACAATAAAGGTTGCATTCTAAATCTATTTCTCCTTTTTCTTTTATTTTCCCTCTTTTTTCATTTTTTGATTTTCGTACTATCATTGGAGCGCTCTCATTGTGAGTGCACTTACTCGGCCGTTGGATTTAAATTAAGGGTCAAATAGAACAACCTCGCGATGGACTTATTATTATTATTATTAATTTATATATATAAATATATTTTGATTTTTTATACCTTCATTATATAAAGTGATTATTATTATTATTATTATTATTATTATTGTTATTATTATTATTATTATAAATATATTTTGATTTTTTATACCTTCATTATATAAAGTGCCATATCCACTGGCAGATCCAGCGTAGGGCTGAGCTGGGCTCCAGCCCACCCCAATTTTTTTTTTTTTTTAATTACTATGAGTATTTTTAGCCCAGCCAAAAAAAAAAAAAATTTATTACGCCCACCCAAATAAGGCCAACTCAACTAAGCCACAATACTAAAATAAAGGTCCAAACCTAACAAACCCTGTTAATGATGAGTATTAGGATATGAAGTAAAACATATTTTGAGATAAAATTGTTGTAGAGGCCGTTCTGAAATTATATATATATAATAAATTCATAATTTCAACGCTTTCAAATCATCATGAAAAATAAACAGAGCTTCTGTGTTTATCTATAAAGTATTCAACAAACAAACAAAAAAATCTATGGCATTATAAACTACGAAAATTTGATAATTTTGATCTCTAGTAGACAAAGAGTATTAGTATAAAAGAAAACATCTAAATCCAATAATTCACAAATCAAAGGTTACTAACTTACTACAGATTTAAATAAAACAAATATAGATGAGTAAGTGTTAGAATTTCAAATTGATTTATAAAATAAAATCACAAACAAAAATTACAATAATTCAATCTTTAAAATTAAAAAAAATCAAATATGAAACGTGTTAAAACATAGCACGATGGGAGATGAATTTCTTGCTGATTGCATGACCGTACGGGATCTTGTTCGAAAATTTTACTTGGAATTTATTATTGACGAATTCGAGTCTTTAAAGACTTGTCGAGCACAATTAAATAGATACTTCGTAATATTTGAATTCAAATATTTATTTAGATCATGTTATAAAAAAAAATTGCTTAAGAAATTGTGTTATTAAATTTATGTTTAATTTTAGCCCACCCCACGGATAATTCCTGGATCCGCCTTTGGCCATATCATATGCTTATCTAGAAGATCAAACTTATCATTGCTAAATGTCAACGATCCACGTGACTCTCGTTCACACAAAGAGAGATAGCACTTCAATCCCAACTATAAATATGGCATTATGTAGCAAGTACCTTTATGCAGAGTGAATTTTTCTTCTTCCTTCAATCACGGCCATGTCTCTCCCAATCATGGCAATAGTACTACTAGGCTTATTCTGCAAAGACATAAGCTTTGTCCTTGGGGACATAGGCACAGCTACTTCTTATGGTCCACCCTACATACGTGAGTACAAATTTCTTCCTCCAAACAGTATATCTATATATATATACACATATATATATGCTCAATCAAAGGAAAAACTAACTCAAACATGTACAGAATAGTTTTCCTCTATACATATACAACAAAATTCTTATATCAATATATTTTGAATGAAAGTATAGCTAGCTTAGTTTAGGCTTTTTAAAAGAAAAAAAAAAAAAAAAGGTTACATGAATTTAATTGGTGCATTTCTGCAGCTACCAAGTGCAATGGCAACAGGGAAGAACAATTCCCCCCGGGAAATCTATTTGTTGCGGTGAGCGAAGGTTTGTGGGATAACGGGGCTTCCTGTGGGAGGCGTTACAGATTGAGGTGCCTCAGTGGCAACAATAAACCGTGCAAGGATGGTACCATCGACGTTAAGGTGGTGGATTTTTGCTCGAAAAGGCCATGCCCTTCCACCATTGTCATGTCAAACGATGCTTTTGCAGCCGTCTCACGTTCTCCTAATGCAAAAATCAACATCGAATATATTCAGTACAACTATATATATCCTACTCTTTATTTACTTCTTCTTCTTCTTCTTCTTCTTCTTCTTCATCTAATCCACACGCCGTTTGTTTTATTATGGTTTTGCAGGATTTGATGCAAATGCACTCATATATATATATATATATAGTACTTATCGGTGTGACTACAAAGTTCAGCATGTGTTAGAAGCTTGAAAGAGTGGCTTCAAAGATTACAAGACCCGTGACATAGTTAGACAAGTAGCTGAGTGATCTTACTTGTAATTTTTGTAGCAAACAGTTTGAGTTGTATGTTTTTTTTTAGTTAACCCGGGGTGTTCGGGAAGGCACAATCCCTTAGGCCCCTCAACAATCTGACTAATTTCCGAGAATCCGAAAGGGTGCCTCTCAAACCGGCCGGTATCATGTAATAGTTTTCAATAAGAAAGGAATACAGAATATTGTGAAACTTGGCGTTGATGTCACAAGTGTGTGTGTGTGTATATTGGTAAAAAGAAAAAGTAGGTACAAGTAGCTTAGACATATGAGACTTGAATGATGCTCCTGCTCCATTTTCATTAATTATCACAGTGCATGGAAATTTGAGTTCCCTCGCATAGTCTCTTAAGAACAGTAAGGCTCACTACGTGGTGTTTACAAATCAATATGTGGTAGAACTGGTTGCTGAGTGGACAGAAAAAGAGGAAGAAGCTAGTTTTTTAATTTAGTGACTACTAAGAGGGTCTTGTTATCCCTATACAATAATACACACACACACACACACATATAAACTTTCAAATATTGTGTATATATAGTTGCAACAGTAAGTTTCCAGTTGCATGCTGATTGATATAATAATAATAATAATAATAATAATAATAATAATAATAATAATAATAATATGTTGTTTGTTTCCATGGGAAAACATTAATTATATATGTAACCATTCAATGTGATGCATGCATGTGAAATGGTTGAGAAAGAGAACAATGTTTGTTTGAAATGGCTTTAATCTGAAGCAGTTTACTTTTGAAAATTTTCTGGTAAGAAAAAAACTTTTGAAAATTTTCAACTAAACATTCATGGGATTCAGTGTGGAAACTTTCACCAATAAATCAATTTAATGCCAAAGGATTATCTGATCATTGGGTCTGACTTCTCCTCCTCTTCTCTGACCAATAAACTGGGCATGCTTAATTGACCACACACAATGTGGAGAAGAGGTCCTCCACTCCACTGACTCAAATGCTGTGACGATGGCCATGATCAAAATGGATAATTTTGATCCCACAAGACATTCTAAATAAAATTCCATTACTGCACGTACCCGTAGGAGGCACCCCTCTTGGGACCTTTTAGATTATATTAGGATTAGGGTTTACTTATATACAGCAGCCACTTACCTATCTATAGTTTCTATGTATAAGTTTAGTTGAGCAACACTCACGCACCTACCCTCAGCTATATCTACCCTCTATATTCTTGTATTATGTATCTCATATCAATACAATACATTATATTTCTCTCTATATACTTCTAACATGCTATCAGATCGAGCAAGGATTTTCTACTAGTCTTTTATACTTTCTAATACTACTTTGATTGCGTTGGCTCCTTCAGGACACTGGGGTTTCTTTATCCGGCCACTACCACTCTTATCTATTGTGATAATAGGAATACACACAATTGTATTTTTCACGAGCGCACTAAATACATTGAGATCGATTGTCATTTTGTTCGGCATCATCACCTTCATCAGAAGACACTATAGTTGCGATCCATTACTTTTCATGATCAGATAGCAGATGTCTTCACCACCGCTAGGTTGTTTTCGAGATCTTATTTCCAAACTCAAAACCAAGATGGTTTCATATAACCTACCTTGATTTTGAAGGGGGGATGTTAGATGATAGGGTTAGGGTTTACCCATGTATAGCAACGGCCATTTCTCTCTTTCTATACTTCTAACATGACCAATCGTTGTTACATGAACCTCATAAACTTGTGCACGTTCCTATCATTAGTCACACACGCTCTATGAATTCACAATTTTAGAAAGGTGTATATCTCGTTAACTTCTCCTCCAAATGACGTGAAACCTCACAATTACCCATTTTCAGCCGAGTCATCAACTCGATCACCCCTTTCAAAAGTGGGTGGAGGGCAATCCATAATGGTTCATGCCAGTCCCACTATGCAACAGTCAGAGAGCATATATATATATATATATCACATATGATTATCAAGCCGCAAAGCAACCTCACTACCCTTAGCTTGCTTACAACCAAATAGTTCTCTCAAAAGTGGGCACAAATGAGCCATTTAAGAATGCCACCTATACTATCATGGAGTTCAATTATTATATAATTAGGGATTAAGTGCAAAAAAATTCCAAAACTATTATCTTTTTGCAAATAATTTCCCTAAATTATTGATTTGTTGCAATTAAAGACAAATTCATCACAAAAGACTATTTTACCCTTTCTCATTCAAATTTTTATTTCTTATTAACTTATTTTTATTATATTTAAATATTAATTATACTATTTACCTTAATTTTATTTTTATTATCAATTTATCATAAAAATGAAAAAAAATATAGATAAATAGATCTGTAACTACCATTTTCTAAATTAATGAACTTATTGTTAAAACCTTTCTTATTTATAATAAAACATATTATAACCAATTTAAACATTTTTTTATACAATATATTAATGAAAAATTAAAAAAATACTTTTGAAAAAAATACCTTCTTTTCATGTAATATATTCATTAAAAATTAAAAAATTAATTAAAATTTTAAAAAAATTATACTAAAATTTTTTATTTAAATTATTAATTAAAAAAATTAAAGATAAATTTATGCAAATTTAATGAAAAATATTTCATCAAATTAGTATGAATTTTTTCATAATTTATTTAGATAAGAAAAATATATTAAATGTAATTCAATAAGAAGGGACATTATGATCATTTAATGAAATATAGTATAGTACTTTGGGTAAGTTACAACAAAATGATATAGTTTAAGAGATTTTATGTACAAAATATAATTCAAGAGGGTTATTAACAAATTCAAACATAATTCAAGAAAATTTTTTACACTTTGCCCTATAATTAGTGACACAATAGTTATCTTAAACCTTTAAAATGGCACCGCACATTATCAACTCCTCAAGAAATATAAAATGGATCTTCTTTTTAGGTGTATCTAACTATTTGTTCAAAAAGTATACCACTAACAGCAGGTCTAAGATTCTCACCTGCAAACAATTTCTCCAAGGAGTGTGTGAATCGAATTCTTAGCTAGAAATTCAAACACTCACTTCAGCGTTCAACTTTCTATTTTTATAAAATGAGAAAGTTACTGGTCTTATTTTCATTTAATTATTAAACATAAATTATTAAGTTTATGATACTTGATAACCCCAAAGGTATCATGAAACATCAAGTTTAAGGTTTGACTTTTCTTAGTGTGAATAATTATTATATATATATATATATATATATATATATATATATATATTTTCAAATAATTATTCACACTAAGAATTCTCATGGTCAACTGTGTAATCTGTCATCGCATATTTGGCTTTTCTTAATCTCATATTACCAACTAATGTGGTTTGTAACCTTATCTCTAATTCATGTAACAAAATGAAAACGTTGAACTAGAAATGTGCTCATTAGAGTTTTCAAATAAACACATTTTAGCTCAAATAAACAATATTTTTAATATATATATATATTCAAGAAACATGCTTTCACAAAGATACATGTCACTCAATAAACAACTTTGATTTGCAAAATACGAGATTAAAATGACATGAATACATAAAATAATTAGACAAATTTGGTAGACAAACTCAAAATGGATACACCTTCGTATCATCTAGAACATTTAAAAAGAAATGGCCACAAATGATCAATTCAAGAATCTCACCTACACTAGCTAGTGGATGCACTTTCAAATCATCTAGAAGACTACAACATCTAAAAGAAAATCTCCTCCAGTACGTCATACTCAAGAAGGCAGAGTTTGAGCTCTAGAAAAAACAAAGCTGTTCTGGTTAATTAGTGCAACACCACAAAAAAAGTGCCTATTTTAGTGCGTGGACTTTCATTATTGTATCTACCGGTGCCAAGAAAAACAAAATAAAGTGACTCGAGATAGAAAATATTAGAACTCATTTATAGAATAATGTGTGTGCGACTGTGTTGTGTGTGTCAGAGAGAGAGAACTAAGCACTGTGATGCAAGTATAAATTAGACTGCATGCAGAGAAGAAAACCATAGAAAAATAACTCAATTTTCCAAAATAAAGATCATAATAGTGTGTGTATATATATACACACACACACAGCCAGAATGAAGTTATTCTTAACTGCTTTGCTTCTGGTTTCATTGTGTTCTGATATCCTGCTGGTCTTTGGGGATGTTGGGACTGCCAAATCTTATGATCCACCATACTTGCGTATGTAGTACATGTCCAAATATTTTACTAATATATATATATATATATATTTTAAGCAATAGTATACACCCACAATATACTAATGCCCATTAGTTAATACTGTACTTTTATATTGCAAGTAGCTATCAAGTGATATAAGAGATGGTTACAGTTGTTCTAGAAGAATAATTGCACATAGGCTTGTAAGACAAACCAAGCACTTGAGCTTAGTTTGTGATCACTTCAGTCAGAGACTCACTTGCATCAATCCAGCCTAACTAGAGTATAATTTCAAGCTCAGTAACTTTGCATAACAAGTTACTGAGCATTTGAAAACAGTATTCAGCAAAGGTATTCAAGCTCTCAAATGGGTACAAATTTTACGGAAAATGCTCGAGTTTTAAACGAGTCCAGCTCGAGCTCTGATTAAGGAGCTCATCATCGTTCAAGATGAGATTGAGCAACCCATTACTCAGCTCAGCTCACGCACCTCGCATCCTTAAATGTGCATGATTATATGCACAGCATATATATATGACATGGATCAACCTACCATTTCAATAACAAGTATGCACAATAAAGTTAACTAGAGCTTAAATTGGTTTTCTAGCTCTTGTATCACCTCTGCAGCATAGCTGATTACACTATCCCGTCTTCTATTTACTTTAAAGTCCCAAATAGCTACTATTTATCACCTTATAGCAAAATTCAAATATTATATTACGAGTTTTCTTACTGTGTTCTTAATGAAGCGACAAGATGTGGAGGTTATGACCCAGATCAATTCCCTGAGGGTGGATACTTCGGTGCTGCCAGCGACGGAATATGGGACAACGGAGCAGCATGTGGTCGGAGATACCAAATGCGTTGCATCAGCGGCCCGAGGAGACCCTGCAAGCATGGATTGATAGTTGTGGAGGTGGTGGACTTTTGTCAAAGCAATCCATGCCCTGCTACACTAGTCCTTTCAAACAAAGCATTCAATGCCATATCAAGATTCCAGAAAGCCAAAATCAATGTTGAATATGCACAGTAAGTCCATTATGTACTTATAACGTGCACAGAAAGATGGACTTGAATGTTAAAAATGTATATACAATTGAATGACAATGCTGATATCTACCTATTATGTTTGTAGGATCTGATATGAGGACTGAGGGCTTGAAACTAGAAGATGACATCCTATCCTGAATATGTAGCAATTTGTTCCAGTTGCTAGAAATATACCTATATAATATTATGTCAAGTGGGGGTTGGCATCTACTTCACTTCATCACTGCTGAGTATAATTTAAATAAAGTCTTGGGTAAATCTATTCACTTCTTGTGCATCCAATGTCATTACAACAAAAGCCAACTCTTGTGCAAAATGTTTGTGCCATTAGGCCATAATCTGAAAGCAACGCATATTTGCTGACCCCTTTCTTTTATTTCCCCCTTCTTAATTATCTTGTAATAGTTCATATCGTTCATATACAGAAGCACAGAACCTAAAAAGAATCATTCTTTTTATTAATGTAGATTTTCCAATAGTTAAAGATAACATACAGAGAAGACTACAAAACAAAGTAATAAGACGAATACAAGAGATAATGAATGAGCATCAGAAATATGTAAAACGGCATACTATACGCAAATTTTTACTGCTCAGAATGATTGTTGAGATTGTCGAATTCTTGCACCACCGTTCTCAGATCCTTGGCGCTGTTTTTGGAAATATGGATGAAGATTGCGGACTCCTTCAAGGTATAAAGGTGTTTGCATTTCTATCAAGCGGGAGACCTACAGAAACAGCTTCTATATTAAACACATTGCAACAAAATTATTCGCTTTTATAAAATTCAGAAGCTGTATGAAGAACTACAGAAATCATGAATCATTTACCAATACACAAGACGTATTAGACAAGAGCATTATCTACTACCTAGAAAAATAATTCAGGCCTAAAATGTTAATTGTAGAAATTACATGAAAAAATGCCCGTTATCATGTAAAGTGAAGCTAGTATTCATCTTCTTCTTCTTCTTCTTTATATATATATTTATCTTTCATATTTTAATTTGTAAAGTGAAGGTAGTATTCAGATCTCTCACTTGAAACTGGAACATGACACCTACACAGTTTCGATTCCAGCACCCACATTGGTAGGATGGTCCCTTTCTCCCATTTTAATTGTCAATCAACTGCAGAGCTAGTACTCAGACCTCTCACTTGAAGTTAATGGCATCAAAGGTCCGCTAAAGTTGCTTTTGGACATTGGATCAGGAATCTGAATTTATTCCTCTGATCAAAAAATTGTTGAACTTGGACTTGGACATATGTGGACTTCAAATTTTATGTTTGTATGAGATGTTAGAAATTCAGGTCATTTTTTTGGGTTTAGAATTGAACATAACATTACATGGAATTCTAACAATGAGAAGTTCATGTTGGAGGCTATGTAAATCAGGAGGGAATTCCTGAAGGGAGTTCAGTGACACCTAGTTGGTGCTTGCGGCAATGGTTCTACTTAAAACTTATTAGGTTACCAGTGATAACCCAATATGGTCATATAATCTTGGTGTGGTGGTGGCAACGATGATGGTGAGTGGTGGAACTGGCAGTTGTCCACTCCCATTTCCTTGAACCAAATGGAGACTATGGGATTCTCAGTTGTCGTACAAGATCCAGCTCAGGACTAGAGGGATTCTTTTTAATAGGAACGGGGCACGCAAATTGAACTCTCAACCTCCTCGTTTGGAGGTGAAGGAGATACCATCACGAATTAAATCCAGTGACAGAGTGAAGGAGATACCATCACGAATTAAATCCAGTGACAGAATTAGAGGGATTTACGTAACCTGTAAGGATTCATTTAATTAAAAATGAACTAACACGTTACATCTTGGAAATGAAAATGACAAAGACAATCAAATTTATCATTTATGACCAAAATCATTAACTCCATAATTTATGACCGACTTAGCATGCAATACAACTTGGGAATACACTTTAGGCCACCTCTTCTAGAGATCGAGTAATTCAGGAAGCTCAACAAAATTATACGACATTGGATGTCTAATACACATATGAAAGCAACCAAGGGTTTATTAATTAAAATCACTTAAATTTCTTCACCATCAAGTCAAATATTTGCATTATTTCTAAGACTATACCATCAGGTTGGCTACATAATAAACATAATGAAAATAAACTAAGCAAAAGCAATCTTAAATAACTACTTTATGAACTAAATAGAAGAGTAAAATAGAACGGTTACCAATTAGCTAATTAACTATTTAAGAAAATAAACATCAGGATTAATCAATAGGAAAGCAGTTTCAGGAATCATAAAAGAATAAACTGGACTGTACAGAAGTCTTCTAAACTGAGTCACAGGTCACAACCATCATGAGAGAGAGAAAGAGAAAGAGCATCACAAATAACAATTACATGTTAAAGACTGGAAGACAACTTACAGCTCGACGGAATGCAAACATCGCTTCTTGACCAGATAGCAGGGAAATAATACCAGCAGGCGCACCTGCTGAACTCACTTTGCCTTCTGATAAAACGTCTCGCCGAAGTTTTGCACCTTCTGTCTCTGTTTCGAATTGGAAACTGGAAAACGAGAATACAAACGCTCATATAACTGCGAATCCATTAAAATCAGAATGCCAATTTCCACAAAAAAGCTGATAAAACCTTTATAGGCATCAAATGATTTTACACTAAACTGTATAAGAGATAATGAAGGTTGATTCAGGTCTGTTGCGTATTCATGTTAATTATCGTTGCAAGTAGAGGGAGTGGCTCCGCCACATAGGGTTTGGTGTATTTAACTTTTGTATATATATAAGGGGAAAGAAAAAGGGTTCTTTATGAGTTGTTAGTTCCCTCTCATAAACGCTCTTTACATGTCACTTTCCAAATAAAAGCACTTGCCTCTCCAAATCAAAAAGTGTTCCCTCTTCAGTTCCCTGAAATAGATCATCAATAGAAGCAGCAGCAGAACAAAATAGGCAACAATGATGATTGTATAATTCATCAATGAGGGTGATAAACCTCCGTGCCTGAAAAGCAGAAACACACTAACGTTAAAAATGATAATAAGGATGAACATCAACAGATATAGTCCAGTCTAAATGCTCATGTGATTCATACAAGAATTACATCTCTGTAATATAGCCGTATGGGTATTATGCACCATTAGAATAATACATAAAGATATGCATTTCTCTAAGTATGTTCAGGGGCACATGATCTATTAATCTGTGAATATGTGACGAATGGATAAAAAGGATATTGTGACTACTTAGCCACCTGTTTGTGCCGTTTTCCCAGACAAAGATATTGGCTCGTGATTTCGGAAGCGCAGACGATGGACATGCCAATGTCCTTGGCCAGAACTAGAAATGTAAGCCAAATATATTCCTCTGAGACAACCGTGACAAAGGACAGTCTAGAGAAACAGTCAAGCGATGGTGAGGAGGTAATGGAGGGCCCGCCTATCAGGATGGTACTTCCTTTTTGCCAATGACTTAAATTTTTCCAGTTGATTGATTGATATGGTGGTTTGTGCCGTGGAATGTAGAATGAAGACAGAATAATACCCACTGAAATATCCATTCCATTCATAATTCATGGAACAATTTGGATTTCTAAGGGAGAAGGAAATTTTAGTAAACTAAAATAGAGAGAGAGAGAGAGAGAGAGAGAGATTGACAGAGAAAGAAACAAGAAGTTGATAGAAAGAAGAGATAGGTAAGGAAACCACTAGCCCATTGGCCCAGGTGGTATGAGTTCTCTTTCCCAAAGTGGAGAGAAGTGGTTGAACCCCTCGGGGGACAGTGTGGTGTGTGTGCTGCTTACCTACCATAAAAGAGAGAGAGTGAGAGAGAGGGACGGAGAATGAGATATATATATATATATATATAGAGAGAGAGAGAGAGAAGGATGAAAAAGAGAGAAGTAAGAGAGAAAACAGAGAAAGGCAGACAGACAGATAGAGAGAGAGAGAGGGGGGGGGGGGGGGGAATGAGATATATATATATATATATATATATAGCGAGAGAAAGAGAGCGAGAGAGAGAAAAGGATGAAAAAGAGAGAAGAGAGAAAGCAGAGAAAGATAGATAGAGAGAGATAGAGAGAGAGACAGAGCTAAAATAGAAATAGGTCTACATGGTAGTGCTAGTGCTGGAGAGAGTCATATGCTGGCTGAACGTATTTTTATATATAATGGAGATGTAGTCTTACATCCACTTGACTGCAAAACGGGTCTTCTCATGTTATACCGTCATTGTCATAATGTTCAGGCAAAATAGGCTTTTACTAGATTTAAGGTGGAATACTGCACAATTTGCTCCAAAAATCACATTAACAATGAAAATCACATCACACACAAATATACATGCACACATGCATGAAAGGTGTCATACATATATGTTTGTCCTTTACAGCCCCGATCAATCTGGAAGGTAAAATCAAATTGCAGACATGGCCGCAATAATCTTCCGTTGACCAAACTAGTCCGGCCATGGGAACTAGTTCAATGCATTTGTCAAGGTGAAATTTAGGAGTAAAGTCATTATTACATGGCATCCATTATCTTGCAAAACTCTGTCATTTCATACATGATGGCCCCATTAGTGATCATGGGGCCATCATGCATATGTAATTATGCTCAACACATGAGGAATGAGCTATTTTAGCCTTCCGTCCTTAGACTTGGCTTTTTAGTTTGTTCCTCCATGAATAGGACTACAAATGAGCCCAGTTGAGCCAAGCTTTGGGATGTCCAAGCTTGGCTTGCCACCCCTCTGGGGTGTTGCCTATTTCTTATAGCTCCAGGAGTGTGAACAATCTACCAAAGAACGCCCTAATAGCTCTTTCCTTAGGGTAATATTCGTTACAGTTTCATCTTATTATCACTGGTTAACTTTGAAAACACGTTATGGGAATGAAGGAAGAAGCCGATGGTACCTTATCCCCAATACGCATACTCATCACAGGAATGTTGGAGATAAAAACTGTGTGATAATTTTTAGCAACTGCAATATAATCTGCTGCCCCAACCTGAAGACATTTGACATTACATGAAAACAATAAGAAAAAGGCGGACCAATCATAATGAACAAACAAGCTTGAGTAACAACGAATAAAATACACAAAATGTTTGGTTCTCCTGTTATAGTATCCATGGATAGAGAAGAACATCAGTTTATGAATACTAAGAAGATGACTGTTAACTAGACTTTGTTATACTTAAATCAATGGTCACTAAAGAACTGTTCATTTTAGTTTGCATCCAATTTGCCAAGTCCATTGTAGCCAAGTTTTCTAAATCTCGGTTTTGGGAGATCTTCTATGAAGAAAGTCTTTTCCCCTTTTTCAAACTTTTATTGAACATGGGTAGCTTCTTTTCTCATTTTTCTTAGTCAAGAGTTTTCAGGCTTAAACTACCAACATGACTGATTGCAGAATCAGATTGCTTAAGCAAGTCATGAACTAAACAGAGAAAAAGGGGGCAAAAAAGTGTTGGATGGGACTGGAAGATCAAGTGCAGAAGTTAGTAAACAAGGATGATAAATCCAGTACTTCAATTAAGTACGAATAGTTACAAACAGCTCTACGAAATAAAGCATATTACCGGTCGACCACATAAATATTCAAATGTGAACCGTGCCGCCCCATTACAGCTTTCAGGAACCTCCAGTGCTCTGATTAACAACCAAAGGTATGTCATTTAGTTGGATCAATTGCAAGAAAAAAGTTTGTGCTGTAAAGTTTAAAAACTACCTCCCAAACATCACTGGTATATTAGTAGAGGTGACCTTTCCTCCAGATTGTTTCGTAACCTCATCCCACATATTCTCAAATTCCTTAACTGCAATGCTATCCAGAGGACAGAAGTAGTGAACCTGCAGAGATTTGTAAAAAAAATTTACCACAATTAATCCATATACCATTTGGTTTTAGAGTAGCAGTTTTCAGAATCAGGGACTTCTTTTGTAATTTTACAAATTTAATGGTATTTTAGCAAATTTATCCTTTTATGCATTGATTTATAGTAGCCATTTGGCTTTTTGATTTTATATTAGTCCTTCACTTGTTTGAAATCATTAAAGTCTTAATTGGTGAAAACCTTCGTTGACTATAAATTTTTAAGTTGAGAGATCTCATTTTGGGTTGACCATGCTTTCTATTAAGTAAATTGCCCTACAGGGGTGCCTTGCTGTTCCTTTATGTCTCTCTCCTGGCTAAGCATGCATCTGACTAGAATCTTTACTTTTAAACAACTGAAGGGAATGCTGCTGATAGATATGTGTGTACTCTGTAATGATTTTAACAGATCGGAACATCTTTTGATTTATGACACACTGCTTCAGTTACATGGTCTTGAATATGCTGTTAGGAGTATCTGAGATGTTCCTTTTCTTTTTCAAAGATCACTTCCTCAGTTAACACTAACAGATTTCTCTCTCTCCCCCCTCTTCTATTTTGTGGGGGGCAATATATCTTAGTGATAGAGAATTTGGAGCATCTAGAAAGTATTTCTGAGGAGCGCCTGGGTGTCATGGAGATTGAATAGAATATACAATTAAATTTATTTTGTGGTGTTGGGCCTTTTCATTTTTGATCTGGCTGTGTTTGGCCAGTACTTTGGGGTCCCTTTGCAGTTTTCTTAAACAAATTTACCCATAAGAAAAAAGTAAAAAGAATTGAAGGAACTGCATGCAGAAAAAAATAGTGAACTCCTAAGATAAGCATCAAAAGTCAGTTTATTATCAAAAACATAAACTAATTGTTTTGATTTCTCACCTGGTCTATAGACCTCTGTGCTATAAGGCGGCGATAATCAATTTCACTTCCAATCAGAACATTCTCACAGTGCTCATCTAATTTGGCAACCAACTTTAGGAAGATCTCCCGCTGCATACCATCCTGAACAAAAAATATTTTAGAAACAAATGTGCCTTGGTCTACAGCAATTTTAACTCTAAAATAGTCACCAAATTTTTTTTTGTAACTTATGAAAATCAATCATGAAAACTCAGCAGACAAAAAAATGAAAAAGATCTAAGACTGACAGAACTGACAAAAACTGAAGGGTGACAGCACATGTTAGAGAAATGACTTGGTAAAGTAGTCATGGTTCTCAAAGAATCCAGTTGAACACACCTGATTTAAGTCCCCTGGTGCTCGATTACTGGTGGAAACAAGCACAGTTCCGGTGCTTAACAATCTGCTTAGAATTCCAGATAAGGCCACAATAGCAAACACATCAACAGTCTGTAGAAAGCAAGAAATTTAAAGTTGTAAATTTAGTCCATAGTTTATGAGCTGGTTTCTGCAATCCACATGTGAACAAACACAACTCGTTAGCAGAAAGATGCACTTCCACAAACCTAAAGCCCAACTTTCATCAAATATACTGATCTGAAACTGTCATGTTAGATATAGAGGATAATAAAAAATATAAATAAATAAATAAATAAACAAATAAATAAAGAAGAAGAAGAAGAAAGAAAGACATGGTTAGCATACAGGGAGTTCTAAACCTACTCATCTTAGTCTTCAAATCTTCCTAGGTTTCCTTGTTAGTATTCCTTCCAATAAATTTTTTGTACACAGCCATTTTCATTACTCAGAAATATGGTAATAGCTAAAACCAATCATCCACATTTTGCTTCTGAATAACTTGATAAAACAGTAATTGATTATTGTACGATCCAAGCTCACTACCAAATACCAATAAGGATACGAAAAAGTTGGAAGTAATCAAAATTTTCTTCCAAACTGTTTGACAAACACCGTGTGAGAATGTTTTGGACTTCCAGACTTTCATAGCTAATCTTCTATTAAGAAAAACCAACCATAAGTTCACAAATGACCATTTCTTCCTTGGTGATTCAGGAAATGCAGTCAGAGGTAGGAAAGTTCAAAGTTGGCTGCCAATGTGTTCAATGCTTTCACTGTTTTAAGCTTTTAATTCATATTTGCGAGAAACTTTCATTTGATATAATTAATCGAATGGATGTTTCAAAATAAGCGTATTGACATGACAATGAACGTGCATGATGAGTCTGCAAATATAGTAAGAATAATACAGGAAAAACAAATGAATTTTCAAGTATAGTAAGAAATAAGAATAAGCCTTTATATATCTATCTTGGTTATGTAGGAAGATATTGTTTTAATTGATAAAACTAAAATATTAATAATGATAAATTAGAGTTACGAAAAGAAGCTCAATAAATAAATGATTTAAGATAATCGAAATATAATTGAATATATGATACATAATGTTAATATAATTAGAAATACAAACATGAATTTAGAGGAGATACTAAAAGCCGGACAATTTTGTTACCTAAACTCAATCATTCATAAGGAGCGAGAGAATGGAAATTATATTACTCGTAGATTAGAAGTTTTATGTGGTAAGTGGAGGGTGCTTCTAACATATTGTGTGGCCAACATATACTTCTAAGCCTCTAAGATAAATTATATAAAACAACTATTACACCAAGCTTATACAGAACATTAAGGTGCTAAGAAATAACATATTTTATAAAATGAGCATGGCAAGGATACGTATGTTGAGATAGGTGTGTAAACAAATATTAAACAATAACTTGAAAAAGCACATTAGTGAGATGGTACATGTTCCTATTAGATATTAAATGAAATAAAAACGACTAAAATGTTTTGACCATGTGTCATTTAAAAACTGTACAGTTGAGGAACTTTGAAATGCTCCACATTGAGGATAATGTTAGGTGAAAGGGAAAGATCCAAATTAACTTGAGGAGAGCCTTTAAGGAGAGATATGATGGGGTGTAAATTTAATTGAAGGTATGGATAAAACATAATTTATGGAAATGACTTCAAAACAAGGCTTGTTGAGTTCATTTGTTAGTAATGCTACTCAGATATTTGAGATCTCGTTTACATCACAAGCATTGTCTTCCCTTTGCTTAATGTTTATTCACTTTCCTTTAAAAAAATTCCCTTTCTTTATCATTTTAAAACAAGATTCGAGATCTTTCTTAATTTCAAAGGATAAACAAGCACTTTTGAAAGAGAAACGAAAAACATGGATCTACCCAAGTGTTAGAGGACCCAATAGATTTCCACCACCACAACCCCCAAAAATAACAAACATTTTATGTTTCTAATGTGAAAAAATATTTTCTGCAAATATGTAAAGCCTTGAGTTAATCAGATCGACAAGAGCATAACAAAACATAGGCCACTTGAAGTAAATGATCTATGTAACTAAGAGCCTTTTAGCAATATCAGATGCCACATATTTGGAACTGGCACCAAAAACCACTTCCATGTGCTTGATATCTAAGCTCTCCCTTATAACCAAAAAATGAATAGGACAAAAAGGATAAACTGCCAGAATATGCCCCACAAGAATGTGACTGATGATGAAGTGCACAAGTAAGACTTAATACTTGTGATCTCAAATTATAAACAAATGCAGCAACTTTAAAACATAAAAGAATTTTTTTACCTGTATTTCATCAAAGCATAGAATGCTAGCTCCTCTTTGTTCTGCTGGCCGGTCGATAAGAAACTTATCTGCTACGGCTGGAAGAATGTTTTTCATCTGCACCTCTTGCTTATATCTTTCTTCTGCAGCTACCCATTCTTTAACTTTTGTATCGAATGGAAGATTCATTATCCAACTAGAAATGCCCGATTGCGAAGACTTATCTTCCACTTGATTCTTCCATATCTTATGCATATGTTCATTTATTTCAAGCATGGCCTGCTTATAGAACTTATGAGTATGAACTGTATGGAAAAATAGATAATAAAAGGATGCTAAAGTTACTGCAAGCATTACATGGATGATGCGAATATTGATAAGGCATGAAGCAGTAAGCTTAACATTGAAAAGATGTCAAAATCCTCTTCCTCTCTCACTCTTACTGTATGTACATATGCAATATGCAAACATGCATGCATTATAGTATGTACTGAAAATTCCATGCCCTTCATTTCAATACTTTCTTAGAGAAGACTACTTTGTATTGTGCCAAAAGTAATCTGCTAGCTGCGTGATGGACTATAATTAATGTGGGGCCCATGAGAAAGTGATATATTTATTGATATATTTTTGCTATTAGATGTCAAATAGTCTGTTAGATAATATTGTATTTATAATTTTTGGGACTTTCTACTAGTTTTAATAGTATAAATTGAATTTTATTAGGTTACAACTTTGAGTACTATCAGTTTCCAAAAGCTTTAGTGAGTTTTTAGGTTTTATGATAACAAGCCCACTGGCAGAAAATGAGATTGGCCCTAGGGACGAATAAAGTTTAAGCAAAAGGGAAAGGTATTTGGAGGAGCTTTGAGCTCTCTCTCTTCTCCTCTTCCCTTCTATCTCCATCTCACTCTAATCTCTTCTATTTCGGAGGCAGAGTAGACAGAGGAGGGTGAAAGAATGACACAGAATTTTGACCTCTTCCAAATACTATGTTTTCTTCAAAGTTTATTCGCATATAGCGATAATCCTGCTTTACACCAACAGAGCCTATTCAGAGGCATCATAAGAACTCACTAATGTTTTCTATAACTAATACCTAACAGAATTACATAATAAGACTCAAATTCAATTACCCAAACTATTTAAAAAGTTCCTGAAAACAAAATTACAGAATTAAATAATAGACTCCAAATAAGACTTTATATCATAAGAAATTACTGATGCCCGCTCATTGTTCTCTTCATTATTTTGTGCAAGAAGGCTACCCATTTGTATAGGATAAAGGCAAGGATGATGAGATTTTCTGGCCAAAAAAGAATTGGACCGATAGAGATAAGCACCATGTAGGCCCCACATAGTGCTTCTTTTTATCGGTTCAAGCCGATATCGGTGCTAGAAGCACGACCCTTCTTGATACTATCAAAAGCATTTTGACAGCCTTGGTCCAAATCAAATGCGGCGTCCTTCTTCATGAGTCAATTAAAAGGTTGACAGTGGCTAGCCAAATTTGAGATGAACCAATGAATGAAAGCAAGCTGACCTTGCAGACCTCGAAGCTCCCTTAAATTCTTAGGCGGTGGCACCTTATGTATAGCATCTACTTTGGATGGATCAATCTCAATACCGTGGTAACAAACCACATAGCCAAGCAACTTTCCCAATGTAATGCCAAATGCATACTCGAGGAGATTCATTTTGAGTTGTATTTTCTCAGACAATTAAAAACTATATAAAGGTCTTCTCAATGATCCTCCCTCTTCTTTGTCTTGATCACAAGGTCATCAACATAACACTCAATAACTTTGTGGAGCATATCATCAAATATCCTTTGCATGGCATGGTGGTACATCGCACCAGCATTAAGTCTGAAACGCATAACTTTGTAGCAGTGAGTTGTATTTTCTCAGACAATTAAAAACTATACAAAGGTATTATAAAAGATCCCCCCTCTTCTTTGTCTTGATCACAAGATCATCAACATAACACTCAATAACTTTGTGGAGCATATCGTCAAATATCCTTTGCATGGCGTGGTGGTACATCGCACAAGCATTAAGTCTGAAACGCGTAACTTTGTAGCAGTAAATGCCTTTGGAGTGCAGAAAATAAAGGCTTTGATAGGTAACACATGTCAAAGCCTTAGTGGAGCTTCCATGTAGCATTGGTCTGAATCTGTTAGCAGAGATATGATAGGCTAGAATCATGGATGTAACTTACCATATTAGCCTAGATATGAAAGGCTATACTTATTGGATTTGACTTCATTTACACATATGTCTAGGCATAGAATCTGCAGTGATTTTATTTTGTTTCCTTTCTTGTAATATTAACATGTACTCTTTTTAGTATATACATACCAGAGCTATGAATGTGTGTTACATTCAAGCCTTTACACATTATTACTCTCATTAAGCCTTTACATATTTCTTTTGTATTCCTTCTATCTTACAGTTCTTCTTGGTATCAGAGCCAGGGTGGTCTGACCGCAACAAGGGCATTGCGAGTTCGGCACCACTCATTCAGCAATGGTCTGAGGAGACATTGTTGATTCTTCCATCTACATTTTTTAAACATGTGTAAAAAGGAAAATGGTCTGAGGAGACATGGATGGTTGCTTATAGAATTGCAAACTTATTTTCTTCTTAAGCTCCATAGTTGCATTGAAAATGTTTAGAAAACATTTCTAGCATCATCAATCTTCCAGTAATGTAAGAAACTTAAATATACTCAAACTTCGATTCTATTTCCATTCTTTGGTTATGAAATGTAACCTAGTTGTTGGGCGTAAATAATCTAAGCATCACTAAACACCATTTCCACTTCCGTACGATTGCATCAGGTAACCCTTAGATTCACTAAGTATGCAAGCAACTCCTAGAGTTTGTCAAATTAAAGGTGGAATACTCAAATCTTTCCATCTTTTTCCTACACTTCATTAAAGAGAAGGTGGGTATTGTCCACCTTTCAACCAGCCATTGTTGGAGAATAGTTAAGAGTACAAAATGAAAAGCGAATGGTATATAAGTTAAGTTCTCCTAGCTGCTATTAGAACAAAGAAGAAATAAAATCATGACAGACATAATGAAAATATGAGGTGCAAACAAGCACGGTGTTCATTAGAAGAATGGATAACAGATATGTCATATGAGACCTTATGAAGAACGAATTGTTTTATGTACTCAACATAGTCACCAGTATCTGAAAAATTATCTGTAAAGCAGGATAGACATGAATGGAATGCTGCTATATGAACATCATATCCTACATATCAGGAAGGAAGCATAGGATGTAGATAACTTCTTATTTATAATCGTTGAATTAGCAATCAACAATAACAAGCCTAAATTTTCTCAAAATGGAGACCCATAAGAAGCATGAGAGGTGACAGTTGACATTTTACTATAACAATGCAAGCCTTCCAAAACAAATGGCATATCCATGAATGCAATCATAAAAAATTATTAGGATCTCACATAAGCACAATCAAACACTTGCCTCATGAAAGTGAAACCTTCTCCGATGCTTAACAATTCCTTCAGTGGCACTATAAAACATGTCCATAAGCATTGTCTTCCCTGCAGAGTGGTGCACAATAAATCACTATCAATCACTATGTTTTGATCTTCAAGTGTCTTAAGAATGCATTCACATTTCTTCCTCGAGGTAGCGAGTCTCCCACGACTCTCCACCATCGGGGAGACAACCATATCATTGTCAGATAGAAGGATTGTGTTCGTTGTGGAGGATAAGGGAGTCCGGAGGAGAGTGGAAGAACTGAAACATTTCTGGTTGGAAGGTCTGCTGTAGGGTAAAATTAGTGGAGACTGCCAATGTTGATATCGATGGAAGAATCACTAGCCCAATTTCTGGTTGGAAGGATCTTGAAGATTTGATAATCTGAGGAGGAGACATCAAATTATCATCAATTGGTGTTGCATGAGCAAGGGCGGAGAGAAGTCAGTGAGCCATCTTCTACGTTGCCCGGTTGCTAGGGATGATTGGGCCATGATCCTTGCTTTGTTTGAATTCAGTTGGTTATGTCAGAGTCCCCGAAGAGCATGATTGAGGCTTGGAGGGGCTGTATAGTGTGGAGGCAAGCCTGTGATGCTTGGAGGGTGATGCCTATTTGCTTGTGGTGGGGTCTATGGCAGGAGTAGAACAGACGGTCTTTTGATAAGGTGGAGGTTCCAATTTGGATGCTGAAATTCTCTATCTTTTGTTCTTTATTCTTTCAGGTTCCAGGATCTAATTGTAAATCTTTGGGGATATAGTGGAAACATTGTTAGTTTTACAGGATTCTCACCCTTGTATAATTCTTTGGGATGCACTCCTCTTTTGAGTGCCTTTGAATGAATATATTACTTATCAATATATATATATATACACAGAATAATCCCAGCTCTAATTTTTTAAAGAAATGGAAAATCTAATTTTCAAATTGCACATATATGCTTAGCAGGAAAGAATAAGTAAGATTACCAACATACCACTTCCAACATTTCCGTAAAGATATAATCCTTTTGGAGCTGGTGGAGCAATTGGACGGCGACCAACCACTGAATCCAACGTCTTCTCTCGATTAAGATAAGAAACCCATTTCCCAACTCCTTCTTCTACATTCTCAGGTTTTCGGCTGAGTCAATATAGATTCAATTAGAGCAGAAAGGAACTAAAAGAAGTGGCCAGTGAAAAAAGTATCATCATATCCAGAAATACGATGCCTATGGACTTGCATCTACCACAAATGGAAATGATATTCAAATATAATTTTACATATATATACATATATTAATTACCTAACTGACTCCATTATGAATTTATAATATTTAGTCACAAGACAATATGAACACACATATATTTTGCAACTAAACTAAACAATCTCATACCAATGAATATAGCATAAGCACTTAAATCTGCATTAGCAACTATGAAGTGAACATACAATTTTAGGTTGAATCATGAAATTAGGATTCAATCCAGAAAGGGAAAAAATAGAAAGACATCTCTAATTGACCAAAGATGCAGATTTGTCAACAGGTCCTTGTTAGAGACTCTAAGAAAGCAATATGCAATTTATGAGTAGCAAAATATGCTTGTTGCTCAACCGCAAGGGGTTGGCTCAAGTGGGTAAGTCACTTGGCCCTGGTGCCTCATGAAGCATCAGATCCAAGGGTGACCTTCCCACCCTTGGAAAGATATTGCTTCTTCCACCCGGCTAGTCTTCTCTCAAACCACGCAACCACAGGATCCCAACTACCCACTCTCCTCGACGGAGACCCCAAAGGCAATCCCAAATAAGAAATATGGAAAGAGCGGACCCCACACCCAAGAACGGCAGCAAGAGCAGCAATATCCTGGACCTCCCCCATAGGAACCAAAACACTTTTCCAACATTAACTTTCAGACCAGAGGCTGCCAGAAAGCAAATCAAAACAGACCTCAAATATCTCAACTGAGAAACATTGACATCGCAAAAAAACACGGTGTCATCCGCAAACAACAAATGGAAAATCTCCAACTGTGGAATGTCACAATATTCTCATTTAGCTTCGCAGCCGACTTAAGTTTAATATATGTAAGCACAAGCCTATAGATACACAGATTGTCTAGGCGGTTTTGCAAAACAAACAGAAGAGAATGCTTAGGAGAAAATGAAAGTAGTACTTTGTTACAATCGAATTTATTCTAGATAAGTGATTATATTATGGTTCAAACTTTAGAAATAACTCAAACAAGATCATTCAAGATCTCCATAATGATACAGTTTCTACTTTTTTGTTGTCAGTCTCCGTGATTATGATGATAACTCCACCATAAAAGAACAAATAATTTTTCAAAATTAAAAAACATAATAGATACTTATTTTCATGGTACTTCCACATTTTCCTCTTAAAATGAATTGTGTAATACAGCCTCATATCAACTAAATAATGCTCAGAATAAACAAAGCCACACACCAAAATGAGTAAATTGTCCTGAAGTAAACATTATTATGAGCATCTATTGCCAAGGAGGTGAGAAGTTCAAAACATTTCCAAAACGAACGTCAAAACAGTGCTTCTCACCGTGACAGCCACCTTTCAACAAATCGATTTCGATGCATGTTTACTGATGTCAATATACCTCCTTGCTGTTTGGCCTCAGCTTCCTCCATCAAAAGCCGGCGCCGCTCATTTTCTCTGCTCTTCTCCCACTTAGCTAAGTTAACCTGCAAAAGGTGAGAAAAGATGCACAATCATAAGAAAATTTATTTGGCTAATCTCACTTTCACAACAGAGAAGGAAAAATAAAAAAAATAAAAACTGAGATATTTAGTCTTACATGGTATTCCTCCATATCTTTCTCATATTGATCCAACCTCCCTAGCAAATTTTCAAGTTCCAAGGCAACCCTTTCCTGGTTAGGATCATGTTGTAGCTTCCTTTGCTCAACAAGACTCCTATAATGCGTAAGCGGTCCTAAAGGAGAAAAGTATGCATGATTATCCACAAGCAAGTTCAAGAAAGAGCATTAAGAAAGCTTTATATGAAAAAACCCATAAACCATTGTAAAAGGATATAAATAATTAAGTTACATCCTCTTTAACAGTTTAAAATTTTAACATCAGTTGGTAGTTAACATGGTATCAGATTTAAGTTCTAGGAGGTCTTAGGTTCAATTTTTTCCACCTGCATCTGCTCTCCAATTCTGTATGTTAGTGTAAGTTCGCACTCTGTTCTGCTGTCTTCCTTCTTCTCCACGTGAGGACGGGAGAGGGGGGGGTCTTAGTCTTAGAGCTTAACTTGATATACTTTGTTGGTCCATTCCATAATATTTAAACATCTGAATTAGGTAGCTATTAACATGGAATTAGCCAGTGTAGGAAAGGTCTTAGGCTCTTGTTATGACAAATACCACAAACCAAGAACACAATCAAGAATCACGACAAAAAAATATACACACCATATACAGAACACAAAGATTTACATGGTTCATCCACGGTGAAGATCCCGTGAAAGATTTCACTATGCGAAAAATAGGAGATTACAAATTTCAGCGAGTGTTGGAAAGGTCTTAGGCTCTTATATATTGGGCTACAAGAGAATTCTAGAGCCAGGTCCACGACCTGCAACAGAAAAACAGGTCAAAAAAATTTCCCAGACCGTTGCCCAACAACATCACTACTCTGATACCACTGATGATTACCATTGATGCATGTTTGTCCACTAGCAGTGGGAAGAGTAAAATGAAGTGTTAAACAGACAAATGATGAGTATCTACACTGAAGACTCGTTGGCTAAAATGGAGTGTCACTAATTTCAAATTTAAAGTCAGTCACTAATTACAAATTTAAACTCATACTTTTCCACCCGTGATATCACATTTAATTTCATAAATCTTATTTAATTCAGAAAAATATATATATATATTGTTAGAATGTATATCCTTTATAATGTTGGGTCATGTAATTACCCATAGTAGTTAGGGTTATTGCGTAATTGTGTAATTAGGGTGTCTAACCCTTGTTCTTTATATAAGCCCTATTTAGAGGGCTGAATAGTGAGTAAGACAATATACACATTTCTCTCAATCTCTCTCTATCTCTCTCCCTATATCTGAACATGGTATCAGAGCGGTATAAATTCATGGGTGTGGGAAACGACAAGTGTGTTGCCCTTGTATGAGAGCGACTGGAATCGTGAGTATGTCGTCGGTGGTTTTGCCGGAAGTTCGTGCCGCCGGTAGGTTGAGAACATCACTCAAAGCCATCATCGTCCTTAGTCGCCGTCAGTTCTGAAGCCCGTAGTCGTCGTCTTCAGATCTGCAGCCTCCTTCATCGCCATCAGATCTGCAGCCTCCTTTGTCACCGTCAGATCTGAAGCCCCTTGGCCGTTTGTGTTGTTGCCGCTTCGATCATCAGCAAGATCACCGACACCCACCGTCATCTCTGCCCTTTTTTTCTTCGTCGGAAGTTGCGGAAGTTGTGTGGTGTCGCCGCTGTGTGCTTGCCGGAGTTTGTTGGTGGGATTGTGAAGAAGAACACCCCTGTTTGGTTACGCGGCTACACTATTCCAATCCTGGTTTACTAAAACCGGGATAGCAAAGACTTGTTTTTGATCCAATCCAGTTATCCAGATCCAACCCGGTTCCGATTCTGCATTTTTCCCAAGTTCGTTTTTTTATTTTCTCCATGGCTTCCAGTTCAGATCTCCTATCTCCTGCATCCTTTAATCCTCCCATGACTTCAGTCAAGCTTAATGGAAAAAATTACATTTTATGGGCCAAGTCAGTGGCCATTCTCCCGAAAGCCAAAGGCTTTGGCAATCATTTGGTTCAAGATAAACCCAAAAGCAGTGATGCTAATTTTAGTTCATAGGAACAAAGGGATGCTCAGATCATCTCCTTAATGCTGACTTGTATTGAACCTCATATTAGCTCCAACTTGTTATATCTGGACACTGCCAAGGAGATATGGACCCGACTCCAACAGTTATATTCTGGTGTTGGTAATATAACCAGAGTTTATAAGATGTGTAGACAATTTTTTGACCTCCAGCAAGGGACTCACAGTTTAGAAGAATACCTCTCACGGGCAATGGGACTGTGTGAAGAAATGAATATGTATCAACCCATCACCTCTGATGTGAAAAGCATGCAGCAGCAACGTGAGGATTTTAATGTCGTTCGGGTTCTCACAGGATTGTCACAAGAGTATGAACCTGTTCGTGGACAGATTTTGGGTAGCCCTACACTTCCCTCTCTACCTGATATGTTATCCAGACTCCAGCGTGCCACTTTATCTAGTGGCGCTTCAGGAAATGCTTCCAGTGGTGTCACTGCCCCTTCTAACAGTGAACGTTCTGCCTTAGTTGTAAACCAGGGTGGCTTTCAAATCTTCTCGTGGAGGTGGTAGTGGTGGTCGTTTCAGCCGCGGCCGTGGTCGTGGCCGTGGTCGAGGCAAAGGCAAAGACTCAAAAATTTGCACTCACTGCGGTCTTACTAATCACACTGTCAATTACTGTTGGGATCTTCACGGGAAACCGTCATCTTCTTCCTATGCACATCAAGTGACTTCTAGTGATGGGGATTCTTCTCTCTCTGCCACATCCACTGCTCCACATATGGCTGTTGAGCCTGCTATGGTCACGATTCTCCGGGATGAGTATGCTCAGTTTCTATCTCAACAACGGACTTCCACCTCATCTTCCATGGGGTCCTTGGCTCAATCAGGTAGTGCCCCTGCATGTCTTTTGTCCTCTAGTCAAAGTCCCTGGATTCTTGACTCTGGCGCATCCGATCACATGACTGGTAGTTCTCATCTCTTATCTGATTTTCAATCTGTTCCTTCCTCTCAAAGTGTTACGCTTGCTAATGGATCATCAACTAAAGTCTTAGGTTTGGGAACTGTTCATCTTACCCCTTCTATGTCCCTTTCCTCTGTGTTATATGTTCCTCAATTCCCTTTTAATTTGTTGTCCATTAGTAAAATTACTAAATCTCTTAACTGTTCTGTAACATTTTATCCCACATGTTGTCTTTTCCAGGATCTCAAGACGTACAAGAGAATTGGTACAGGACATGAAGTAGGTGGCCTGTATTACTTCGATCTTGCACCATCTCCCACGGCTCTTCAATCATCTTTGTCTTCTTTCCAGTGGCACTGTCGTCTCGGCCATCCCTCACTATCAATTCTGCAGCATCAAGTTCCCGGTCTTAGTCATGTTGAGTCTATGTCTTGTGAAACATGTCAACTTAGTAAGCATTGTCGTGTATCTTTTAAACCAAGAGCAAATAATCGTGTGGCTAGTCCTTTCCAATTAGTTCATTTAGATGTATGGGGACCAATAAAACATATTTCTATTAATGGATTTCATATTTTGTGACTTTTGTGGATGATCATTCTTGGATGACTTGGTTGTTTTTAATGAAAAATCGTTCTGAGTTGTTTTCTATTTTTCAAATATTTCGCAAAGAAATCAAAACTCAATTTGGGTGTTCCATTAAAGTTTTACGTTCTGACAATGCCAAAGAATATTTCTCAGACCCGTTTGAGACTTATTTTCATGCTAAGGGCATTATTCATCAATCTTCTTGTACTTATAGTCCACAGCAAAACGGAGTAGCTAAACATAAAAATCGTCATCTTCTGGAAGTCTGTCGTGCCCTTTTATTTCATATGCATGTTCCCAAACATTTTTGGAGTGATGCTGTTCTTGCGGCATGTTATCTTATTAATAGGATGCCCTCGTCAGTGCTAAAGGGTAAATCTCCTCATTCTGTTCTATTTCCTGACTCCGTCTCGTTTAATCTGACTCCGCGGGTCTCTGGTTGTGTGTGTTATGTCCATAACATTGGACCTGGTCTTGATAAACTCGACCCTCATGCAACTAAATGTGTTTTTCTTGGGTATTCACGCACTCAGAAGGGCTATCGTTGTTACAGTCCTCATTTCCAACGCTATTTCACTAGTGATGATGTAACATTTTCTGAGTCTATCCCATATTTTTCTGATTCTACTACTCCTCTCGATATTACTTCTGAGCCACCTCTGCCATTGATTCCCTCTCAGTTTCCTGTTTCCGCACCTCCTCGCTCTGCTATCCCATTGCAGGTTCATACTCGACGACCTTGCCCACCTACTTCGCTCCCTCCATCTCCTTCAGAGTCTTCAGATCCGACGACTTTACCTGATGATTTGCCTATTGCCCTTCGTAAAGGTATTCGGTCATGTGTTACTGCACATCCCATTTCTAACTTTGTCTCCTATCGTCATATTTCATCCTCTTTATCTTGTTTTTTATCCAAAGTATCCGCTACTTTTGTTCCAAAGACTTTGCAAGCTGCTCTCTCTGATTTGGGTTGGCGGCAAGCCATGGTAGATGAAATGGATGCCCTTCATCATAATGGGACATGGGATCTTGTTCCCTTACCTCCGGGCTCCAAACCGGTTGGTTGTAAGTGGGTCTACACAGTTAAATACCTTCAAGATGGGTCTATTGAGCGGTTGAAGGCTCGCCTAGTGGCAAAGGGGTACACTCAGACTTAGTGTTGACTATGATGAGACTTTTTCTCCTGTTGCTAAGATTTCTTCTATTCAGATTCTTATTTCCATTGCTGCCAATTGTAACTGGCCTTTGTTCCAATTGGATGTCAAAAATGCCTTCTTACATGGTGACCTGGTTGAAGAAGTTTATACGGAGCAACCACCTGGGTTTGTTGCTCAGGGGGAGTATCGTCACACTGTTTGTCATCTTAAAAAGACCCTATATGGATTGAAACAATCTCCACGGGCTTGGTTTAGGAAATTCTCTGAGGCGGCATTAGAATTTGGTCTTAACAGATGCCAGACCGATCATTCGGTATTTCACCTGCGCACTAAAGCTGGCTTCATTTTTCTTGTGGTGTATGTAGATGATATTATGATCACAGGTGATGATTCCGCAGGCATTGCTAAGTTGAAGTTGTTTCTGCAAAATCGATTCCACACTAAAGACTTGGGTAAACTTAGGTACTTCTTGGGTATTGAAGTTGCTAGATCCAAGGAAGGTATAAGTTTATCTCAACGGAAATATGTTGTGGATTTGCTAGAAGAAACGGGTATGTTAGGTGGTCGTCCAATTGATGCTCCTATGGATTCAAATACAAAACTTGTGTCTGATGAGGGTGATCTATTTAATGACCCAGGCAGATTTAGCCGCCTTGTTGGGAAATTAATTTACCTCACTATCACTCGACTTGATATTTCATATGCAGTTAGCATTGTAAGTCAGTTTATGGGAGCTCCTAGAATGCCACATTGGATTGTTGTTCTTCAGATTATCCGATATCTCAAACGAGCTCCAGGTTTTGGGTTACTATACAAATCAAATGGTCATCTCAGGGTGGAAGGTTTTACAGATGCTGACTGGGCTGGTTCTCCTTCAGATATGAGATCTACTACAGGCTACTGCACATTTGTATGAGAAAATCTTGTTACGTGGAAAAGTAAAAAGCAAATAGTGGTAGCTTGGTCTAGTGCTGAAGCTGAGTACAGGGCAATGACACATACCACTAGTGAGGTGACATGGATACAAAATCTTCTAAAGGAACTTGGGTTGACAGTTGAAACTCCTACTCCATTATTCTGTGATAACCAAGCAACAGTTCACATTGCATCGAACCAAACATATGGAGGTTAATTGTCATTTTACTCGGGAAAAAATATTAAGTGGTAACATCTCTACTCCATTTGTGAAGTCTGAAGATCAACTAGCTGATATGTTTACCAAAGCACTGGGTCATAATCGGTTAAGGAGTATCTACTCCAAACTGGGATTATTTGATATATATTCTCCAGCTTGAGGGGGAGTGTTAGAATGTATATCCTTTATAATGTTGGGTCATTATGTAATTACCCATAGTAGTTAGGGTCATTGTGTAATTGTGTTAATTAGGATGTCTAACCCTTGTTCTTTATATAAGCCCTATTTAGAGGGCTGAATAATAAGCAAGACAATATACACATTTCTCTCAATCTCTCTCTCTCTCTCTCCCTATCTCTTATGAATTTGAACATATATTAACGACTGAAATCCCATCTTTCTATTAACCACTGTACTTATAATAAATTTCATTGATAATAATACTTGTAAACTAAATTCCAAAAAAGAAAAATGATATGTTAGATAATTGTTCTCTACCAATAGCCGTTAGCTTGGTAATATTTCTTGCCACCTATGGTTCAAGTGTAGATGGGAACATAGGGGTTGAAAGTTCACACAATCATAACCCTAGGATATGATAGAGAGTCACGCCCCGTGATCTAGTCCTAGAGGGAGGGGGACGGGGGGTGGGGGGGTCTTGTAGTTAATCCATCATCTATGCATGCATACAGCAATAAAACGATGGACAGAGGGATTTTTAACGGGGAAAACTCAACCGTAAAAGACAACAAGACCTAGTCTAGGCAAACGGAATCCTCCATGAGAAAGAAGGATTACAACCAAAGGCGGAGAGAGGAGGGGTATGGCCCCCCAAATTTTTCTCAAAAGTCTTTTTTTTTTGATAAGTCTCAAAACTCTATTTATGGTAATAAAACCCAAAACCCCCCCCCCCCCCCCCCCCCCCCCCCCCCAACACCCAAAAAACATAAATAAATAAATAAAGATTCACATTTAAAGTTACCTATCTATGGTTATTAAAGGTGTGATATTGTGTGGTTTCCCAGAAATACTCCAAGTATGCTTTTGTGGTTTGGTTGGCTTGTAAATGGTAGGCTCTTTACCCAGGCATAGGATGGCTCATGAGGAGCTGATCTCTAGAATCAGCTGTGTATTTTTGTAGGGAATCAGTTGAAGATAGACATCATTTATTCTTCCACTGTGACTTTACATCAAGAATTTGGTCTTTTATCTCCTCTAAAGGTGTTGCTCAATGGCACAGATATCAGTGGAGTTGGCCTTTTGAATTGGATGTATCGATCTCTTAAAGGCAAATCTCTAAATTATAAAGTTAACAGACTTGCTTTTGCAGCCACAGTTTACATTTTCTGAAGGGAAAAAATAATAGGCTCTACACTAATAAATATAAAGACCTCATCACTATTCAAAAAGACTATTATTGCTGTGGTTAGAGATAGAATTGTCTCTTTGCAGAAGTTTCAAGTAAATCAATCTAATAGGTTAGGCAGATAATGGAATGTCCTTGATAGCATTTTGGGGTAACTGCATCCTTGTCAGCCATTTCTACTGTTTTTTAGTTTGCTGGGTTATTAATACTACCTTCAGTAGCTATACTTCTATGACCTTAATTTTTGTTAGGATTTTGGGTTGTTATTGTGCTTTGTATATGCTGTTGGAAGAATTTTGTTTGAAGGAAATTCTGCTTTGAGAAACCTCTGTTTTTTGGTGATGTTCTGGTATCTGCAGAATGAGAAATGCTTCAGTTATTGCCCTTCTTCTTGTTTGTTCCAACTGGTGTTTTATGTTTACTTTCTTCTGCAGAAATTTGGGCTGGGAAGATGCTCTCAAAGTTTTGTGGCTGCTTCGAATGGGCTTTGGTTGTTGGTGGTGGTGTTTGCTTTGTAATTCTGCTGCCAATGACTCTTGCTTTCTGGAGACTTGTTTGATGGGGAATAGCTTCCAGTTTACATCAGCTTTCTGTTTTGTATGTTGGGACAATTGTGTTTGTTGTTCTTTGAGTTTATATTGTTTCTGGGCCATTTTTGGGATTCTACTCATTTGGTGGAGTTGGGAGTTCCACATTCTTTTGTAACTTGGGGTATGCCCCAAATATTTCGTAGGGTTCATCCCGTGTTTTGATTGAATAAGAATCCGTTTGGGATTGCTGTTCAACCACTTAAAAGCTCTTTTGTTTTAAAAATGGAGTTTAGTGGTGTTTGGTAAAAAAATAGAAAATATACATAGAAATTAAAAAGCTAAAAAAATAAAAACTTTGAAGTATTACAGATTCTAGCTCACTAATAACCATAAAGAATGTTTTGCAAAGTCTAAAAAAGGCTGGTAAGGCTTCCTCTCCATCTGGACATCATCGTTGTTCCTTCTACTTGTCAACCCGATACCAGAGCTCGGTTCTTTTTTCGAATTCTGTGGAACCTTGCTACCTATAAAGAGTAGATAAAACATAAGAAGGGGGAAATGAAGACTAGGCAAAAGACCTAAAATATCGAGTTTTTTTATGAAGCTAAAAATTATAGCTTTTAAAATTGCATTCTGAGTAGAGGCTGAATATTTTAGGTAAGTAATTTGTTTTTAACAATCTAACCCCTCTTTATACTAGGAAGTATCCATAACGATTACGCAAACAAATGTGTGGCATTATGACTTGTAGAAATTTTCTTAAATGACATATATTTACATATATGTTATTTCCAATGTTAAATAATTAATAATAACTAATAATAGGATCATTAATTGTGGGACCATTGTAGAAAGATTTGGTGTACTTTTATATATACCTTTGGTGTACTCGTTTTTTTACTTTGATACCTAATGGCAAGAATTGGATGTGGAAGACTTGGCTCAAAAATTGAAAAGTAAGGTCAATTATCTTCCTAGCACACACAGTCCTTTCATTATGCTCATCCTTTAAGGCAACATTGGTGTGGGACCAATATTCAGGTGTAGACTACCTAGATGGCAACCAAAGTATCCATCAAAAGGGACCAAGCTCACCTCAATCAAAAGCATTTTATCTAGTATTCCGACCTAGTTCACACCAAAGCTTTGGGGGTTCGGGGGCAGCCCCCCCGAGGTTTTTGACCCATTTTTTGCTTGCGGGTCGTGAACCCTATTTAGTACTCTCTTGTAGCCTGATATATAAGGGCGTTTAAGGTTTGGAGTGGGATGACACTGAAAATTGCAAAAGAGAGAGAGAGAGCTAGGGTTTGGGGGGCTGAAACTTGTAATGTCCTATTTTTCACATAGTGAAATATTTCGCCAGAAACAAGAAATATATATATATTTCATCCACCATGTGTTCAACGAGTCTCACAGAGAGAAAATATATATATGTCACAATTTTTGTATAATTTAGAGGCTACAAACTATGTTATCTTGTATAGTTAAATCTGAGTTATGTTAAGTATATTTTGTGTGCTCTTTAAGTTTATGTGCAGACACAGGCTGTATGTTACTGTTTGCACCCAAATTAGGCATTTGGTTGCACGGTCTCATGTTGGATCCCGCAAGCCAGTGCAGAGGCCGATGGAAAAACTCTTGGAGCTGAGAGGAGTCAAGTTCCCACTTTGAATCTCCCAAGTGGATCCATTTCAATTTTTTAATCACCCAGAGTTGAAAATATTAGAATCGAGCTCATTGGCCAGAGGGGTCAGGCCAATGAACCTTCGACTTTGTCCTTCCCAACACTCAAGCACGCCAAAGCTACGGAAGTGACAAGTCCAGTGAGCGAGGCACTCAAGTGCCTAGATAAGGGGACAGCAAAGGAGGTGGCAGAGCTGGTGGCAGGTTGTCAAGTCGAAGGTGGTGCTCCATCCTTTGCATTAAATGTGGCAGTCAAAGCGACCCATCAAAGGCTCAGCTTTCCTCTCTACGTGCGCTTGTGACAGCTTGCACCCAAAGACATCTCAGCCATTGATGAGAAATCTAATCCAATGGCCGACATTGCACAGCCTCGACTAGAAATATAATTCATTTATATCTGAGAAAAAGGTCCAGCACCAATGCACATTACATTTCATATTGTCGCCCTTCGCGATCTTCCATACTTAGTTTATTTGAAGCTTGCTCCTGCAGTGTAGCTCAAGGTGTAAACCTTGTTCTTCCCCAATTACCTGTAATGCTTTCATTTTTAGTGTAGCATTTATTTCAGCACAACTTTTGTTCCACTCTTAGGATAGCATTTACTTTGTTGCATTTACTGCTTTCTTACATTAATGTTGTAGTGTTTAAGTTTTAATTTCCTTTGCAAGTTGTAGTTGTTAAACTTAACATTTACTTTTAGTTGGGTTAAGTGTAGATTGTAAGCGACCAAGTCTTGTAAGCAATCTTGATCTACTGTAATGGTTAATGACAAAAGAGTTACGTTTCTTTGAATTGTTGTAAGGTTCTTCTCTCTCTCTCTCATGCTATCAAACAAAAGATGTTCTTAATAAGTCAGCAAAGCCCTTTGTAGGGCCAAAGTTATAAGAATTAGCCAGAGGATCATTTCTGTTCTCCACAATCACTAAAGTCAGATAAGGTTAGGACTACAACCCACGCGGCAATAGCACCAGGAATATTTGCATGGTTGTGCATTACTCTGCCTCAAGGCCAGCGTAGCTGCAAATCAAACCAATCACAGTCTTGGCACGCTCGCAGGTGAGGAAACTCACTCGCACCCTGTAACGACCCACTCCATTACATGGTATGATATTGTCCGTTTTGGGTCCGAGCCCGCACAGTTTTGCTATTGGTCTTTACCCTCAAAAGGCCTCATACCAATTGGAGAGAACGCCACCACATATAAGCACTTCACCTTTCCCATATAAGCTGTAAGCACTTCACCTTTCCCTTACCCAGGCGATGTGGGATTGTGCACTCGTAGCTTGCCCAGTGTGGTAGCCTGCCAGTGCCTCGCACCCGCCCATGGCACATCCGCCCACAAGGTCGCCACACACCCATTGACTGGGGCATGCTTTAGGCCAAACAGTAACCTGGTCCACGGATGTTCTTGCGGATCAAGTAATGGTATTAGATGTTTATCACATTGTCTTTAGCTAGTTAAAATGATCTTATCCAAAGTCTGAAGTTCTTATTATAAAACTGTCAAAGTCCTAGCTGGAATAGGAATTGACCATTATCCATGTATTCTTTCATGTTCAATAAAGATCACTTCAATGAACTTTAGAGGGAAGTTCTGCAACTCAATTGACACTATATGATGCAATCCTAATCCTAGAAGTGATGCTAGAGAGAATTTTTATGCGTTGCCTAGCCGCCTCTTTTACTTTATTTACTTCTTTTCTTCGATTTTCCTACACTTTTCAACCCTTTGAACCCCACAGCCTTCCTACGCTTTAAGAGGTCATTTTACAAGTTACAACCCTAACCCAGTTTCCTGTTTAAATTATTCAAGTTATCACCCAAAATTAACACAGTTGGCATTTGTTACTGTTCAAATCATATCAAGCCAAGCAAAAAACAAAAACACACACAAGCACACACAGAGCAAAATAAGAATTACATTAACCAATTTAATCAAGCTCAAATCAAAGAAACAAGAGAAGAGTAAATCAAATGAATGAGAATGAAATTAAGAGTAGAGGACGAGAGAAATTGAGTGACGAATCAAAATTGTGACTTTGATCATCAAAAGCATGCGAGGAACCAATCTATCAAGAATTAAACCAAATTGACCAACCTCGGCTCAAAGAAAACAGAAAGATAAGATAAAATTGATTGTGAAAGGACTGACCTCGACGGTTGGAGGGAGAGAGATGGGAGCGATCACATAAGGATCTAATCACATTGATTCGAAAATTGGAGGTTCGACGAGCCAACCCTAGAGAGATAAGAGAAGAAATCGAAGAGAGTCTTCTCATTTTTATGAGTCCTTATTCGGATCAAAACTGAACACGAACCAAGATATATATCATCAACGTTCTTTGTAGTACCGTTGGTTCTGTAAATTTATAACACCAAAAAGTGCGGAAAAAAAAGTGAATCAGGAGATGGTGACGTGGCTACCGTTGGGACCAGCCACTTATAAGAGACGTCTTCAATTTTTAGCTGCACAAAAGTCCAAGTGTACCGAACTCGATCGTCAAGGATGTTGTAATATTAAAATGACGTCGTTTTGAAGTATTTTGAACTCTACCGTTTTGCTCTCTCAATGTGCTTAACGGTGGGTAATTTTGGTTTTTTCTTTTTTTCTTTTTTAGATACATAGTCAGGGTTCTCAATTTAAGAATTTTGTGCTTACTATGTGGTAAAAGCTGTATGATTTGGTCCAATAGAATTCAAATAACTTGATTTTTAAAATTTCAATTCATTTCGGTTTTGAATGGTTTCAATTGAGGTTCTCTCATTCTTTTTGTTTTTGACTTTTCTCTTTTAGATTAATGCTCACAAAAAAATATTTATACATTCACATTGCCTTAACGAAAATTTAAACTTTTCATTTCATTCTTCAATTATGAGAAAGTATCACTTGACTATAGTCATTAAAACAATATAATTTGATCACATTATAATTACGAATTCAAAATATATTATCGAAAATAAATAAATAAGGAGAAGGGATGGTCTGTAAAGAGTCCGATTAATTTATACTAATATTAATAATATTATAATAATATCAACTCTTACTTACATAATTGACCTCTACTCGAAACCTACCAACATCATTTTCTCTCCCCATTAATATCTAACTCCCTAACCTCACTGACCATTGTCAAGTTATAATAAAAAATAAAAATAAAAACTCCAAAATTCATAAATAAATAAAGAGTTAGCTGGTACGAGATTAGAAAGGTGAGGTTTAAACTTTACAGCAAAGTAAATGCAAGTCCAATCCATCAAAGCCAAGCTATTCCGCACCAACAACACAGCACCACTAACAACCGCGCTGAACCACCCACCCACCACCGTGAACAAAAGAGCAGCAGAACAGAGCTGCTTAGCTCTCCTCCAGACATGCGACTCTCTCCCCAAGCTCACCCAACTCCACGCCCACATCCTCAAATTGGGTCTCCGAAACAACCCACTGGTCATCACCAAATTCACTTCCACAGCCTCCGACCTCCACGCCATCGGCTACGCATCGGACTTCGTGTTCACCTCCGATGCCGATACCCGGCTCTACGACACATTCCTTTTCAATACTGTAATCAGAGCTTATGCTCAAACAAGTAACACCAAGCACAATGCCGTTTATTATTATAAAGTTATGCTTGAACACTCAGTTTTGCCCAATAAATTTACATACCCATTTGTCCTAAAGGCCTGTGCTGGTATTGGGAGCTTGAATTTGGGTAAACAGGTTCATGGGTCGGTGGTGAAAATTGGGTTTGATACTGATCTTCATGTTCAGAACACTATGGTTCATATGTATTGTAGCTGTGGAAGTGGGGTTGAGTTTGCTCGGATGGTGTTTGATGAAATGCCCGTGTCGGATTCTGTGTCATGGAGTGCGATGATTGGTGGGTACGCTCGGTTGGGAATGTCAACTGATGCGGTTGAATTGTTTAGAAGAATGCAGATTTCTGGGGTTCGTCCAGATGAGATTACAATGGTTTCGGTTTTGTCTGCTTGTACTGATTTGGGTGCACTGGAGCTTGGGAAATGGGTTGAGTCTTACACTGAGAAGGAAAAGGTTCATAAAAGTGAGGAGCTTTGCAATGCACTTATTGACATGTTTGCTAAGTGTGGTGATGTAAATAAAGCATTGAGGTTGTTTAGAAACATGAAAGAGAGAACAATTATTTCTTGGACTTCTGTGGTTGTTGGTATGGCAATGCACGGTCGTGGTTTGGAGGCTGTTTCATTGTTTGAGGAGATGAAAGGAGCTGGGATGGTTCCAGATAGTATTGCCATTATTGGTTTGCTTTCTGCTTGTAGTCATTCCGGGTTAGTTGAGGAAGGTAGGTTATACTTCAATTCAATGACAAAGGATTTTGGAATTGTACCTAAAATAGAGCACTATGGGTGCATGGTGGACCTATTGAGCAGAGCTGGACTCGTCAAAGAGGCACTAGAGTTTGTTCAGAAAATGCCCATTGAGCCAAACCAGATAATTTGGCGAACCTTGATCACTGCATGCCGTGTCAATGGTGAGCTGAATCTCGGAGAAAGCTTATCTAAACAGCTAATCAGAAATGAGCCAATGCATGAGTCAAATTATGTACTACTTTCCAATATTTATGCGAAAATGTCTCGTTGGGAAAAGAAAACAACGATTAGAGAGGTAATGGAGAAGAAAGGTATGAGAAAGATCCCTGGGAGCACTATGATTGAGCTGGACAACGAAATTCATGAATTTGTTGCAGGAGATAAAACGCATAACCAGTACAAAGAGATTTACGAAATGCTGGATGAGATGGGGAGGAAGATGAAGAGGGCTGGATACGTTCCTACAACTTCAGAAGTGTTCCTTGATATTCATGAAGAAGATAAGGAAGATGCTTTAAACAGGCATAGTGAAAAGCTGGCTATTGCTTTTGCCCTTCTGAAGACACCCCCTGGAACTCCTATTCGAATTATGAAGAATTTGCGGGTCTGTGAGGATTGTCATTCCGCTACTAAATTCATCTCCAAGATTTATAATCGAGAAATAGTGGTGAGAGACAGAAATCGGTTTCACCATGTCAGTAACGGGCTGTGTTCATGTAAAGACTTCTGGTAGTTAACCGGTTTTAGATTCATGACCTAAAGATCATTCACTGTGAATCATTGTTTTGCTGTCGGATGTATCCAATGACCATTAAGATGTAGGACTGTAAAGATCATGTGTGTTGTCCGGCCTCATGATCATTGATTGGAATCTTATCTTCATTTGGACAAATTCTTCAAGCCAATTTAATGTTTAGAGATTGGCAAACTGAGGGATCTATCTCCAGGGAAAAATACTAATGCAATTATGCAAGAAACCTATGCAAGACAGAATTCGAGGTTGATGCTGTTGGCTTGAGTTTTATCATTCAATAATTGATGTTATGCTTCGACTGATCTGCACTGTGTTAAGAGGCTTGCTGGGGGCCAAAAAGCAGAATGCAACAGTCAGGTAATTCAAATACTTAGGAGGGTATGCTTTTTTACAGCTAAGGAAGCTATGTTCTGAAACTTGATGAAAGCTCACTAATATGAATCTCTGTACAATTTAGAATTACTTAAATTATAACTGGTTCATGGTTCACCATAATTATGAATTGGAGCTCATCCCATTATGTTTTAATGTTCTAACTAAGAGTTGTGCGTTCATGTTGAACTGGCTAGGAAGTAGGAATTCTTTATAATTCACATGGTTAGAAGTGGATTAAGTTTATGATCACATCCCCAAGCACTGCTACTCTAGCCGAGGATTTCAACCGAAATCCTTGGCATAGCACTGCTTATCGGCGAAATATAAGAAAGTATGGGTCCCACTTCCTTATATTTTGCATATCCAGCCAATCCACCATCTTCGGCTAAACACAATTTGCTTGGCCAAAATCAATAAGGAACTAAAGGGCATGAAGTTTTGCTTAGCCCAACCTTTTGTAATTGGTTATACATCAAGATTGATAATTTAAAGGTGAATGAAAATGATATGGCTTGGTACATTAGGTCAGTCATCAACCCACAATTACTGATGCTGACTGCTTGTCTTGGGGTTTGTAGTTACTTAGCTCATAAGCCAAATGCATGTCATGTGCTTAGGTTCTGCCCCAGTACAAACCAAGCATGTGAAGTTGCCAACTTGCCTTCTTGGTAGGCTATCAACTTACTGGTAGCTGTCCATGATGAGAACCAGCTTTATTTTCATGGTGGGTTTTCTCAGTTACTTGTGTGTATATTGCAGTACAATTGGTGTCGCTTTAGAAAGCAATCAAAGCATAGAATACGACTTGGAATTAAAATATAAGTGGGATTAAAGGATTCCTTGTTATGACATTGTTGTTTGTTCCTATTAGTTTTTCTAGTTTAGCAGATTTGAGAAGCTGGCATGATATGTAGCTCTTGGAAGTCAACTGTTCATGAAAAAGAAATTTAAATACTGTGGCCTCAAAAGCACATGTTTACTGGAGCAACTTTTATGCTTGAAAAAGAAAGAAATCCAAACATTAGCTGTTTTTTTTTTTTCCCCAGAAGCTATTTGGCTCTTTCAAAAATCGGGTTTATTAATAACTGAAAACAGCATTGGCTTTTGTTCTACAATTTCTGAAAATAAAAATGATTTCTGTAGATGAAAACAAATAGGCCCTTATCTATCCTACGGAAATTCAAGACATTTTCTGTGTTCTGTTTATATGTAAGGGAGACTGATAGATTTGTTTAGCCCATTTAGCCTGGTAACAAGCATACTTGTTATGCAACCAAGATGGTGGCGTTCCCAATCCTGGTGAAGAGAGAGAGAGCCCAGACGCCGCCTCTATAGTGCACTAGAGAATGTGAGGATCCCACCAGCAATGCAATCGTGTGCTGGTGAGATTAATCCTCTCCCTCAACAAACTATGCACCAGAGAATGTGAGGATCCCACCAGCAATGCACTGGGGCGCTGGTGAGATTAATCATCTCCCTCAATGATCTTCACCAATCCTCAGTGAGCTTAACGCCACAGAGCACTGGAGAGAATTTTAGTTCCATGTAACAGATCCGGTGAGCTAAATATTCTAGCCAGCACGGGATGCATCAATTCCATTGGAAATCCAGACCTGAGAGCTCTATTTAAAGTATACAATGAGACCAACAAAATCTGTATTGCTCAACATCAGCTCATGCTAGCAGTATCTACAACCTGAGTTTCAGGGATGAAAAAATGCCTCCTAAAGCATATGCACCATCACATTTGGATAGAATTCAAGGCATCATCCTTGCGAAAACAAAATTACAACTTACTATTAATTCTAAGCTTTAGTAATAGGACTGGAGTATAATACCAATTCACATGCAGAGACATGTCTCCGAAATCAAATGAAATAACTTGAGAGGGCCCTTTCTGATTTTTAATTCTATTATAACATCAAATGACTTCAATAAAGGACTGAGGATCCTTCCAATCTCTAGTTCTGTTATAAAAAACCAAAATGCATTTCAATTTTTCTTTTTCAGTAGATAAAGATGCAGGTGAGAGCAGCTAGGATGGTAGTGGCATTAGCAACATTACGATCATACACCACGGCAATAAAGGAGGCAATGTAGGTCGGATAACTGTGGTGCTAGTCGTGGGGTCTCCGATATGTTAGGTGACAAAAGTGACAATATAGTAGAAAACACTAGATATGGTGACTGCAGTAATGGAGGAAACAGTGGGAGGGGAGAGAGGCAGAAGCAGTGGCAGTAGCAGGAGAGGCAATTTTAACGGTGACAACTGACGTGGTGCTGGTGTTCAACAAAGGCAGCTGAACAATTTGATTTAGCTTGTAAAGTGCGGTGGTGTTGAACCTGTTGGTGTTCAATAAAGGCTGTTGAACACATGATCTACCTTGTGACTGGTAAGGTTTCAAAGATCTCACTCAAGAAGCAAAAATAAATTCCATAAGCCGTTTACATGATTGCTAAGAGTAACAATATCAATACTCAACTCAACTCAAGAAAGAATTGTCCCAAAAGGAACAAAATCAAAATGTTGAATATTATGGATATTTAACTAACTAAATTCCATGAGCCATTTACATGATTGCTAAGGGTAACAATATCAATACTCAACTCAACTCAAGAAAGCATTGTCCCAAAAGGAACAAAATCAAAATGTTGAATATTATAGGAATTTAACAAACATTCGAAGGAATACTTCAAGAATACGCAAGTAGCCTTAACTAGGTAGAAGATTATACCATCTCAAACATGCCGACCTTGTTCCTTAAAAACCAGGAACGAGGGCAAATCATGCCCAGTTTCACATAAATGCACAAATGCAGTATGGAGTCCAATTTTGCAAAGCTCTAACCAACCAAGTTCACAGAAGCATCCAAACAGAGCATACAATTTATGAAGGAAATGGTGAAATTGTTCCCATCTCTTCTATGGATGTAGGCCCTAAATTTCAAAAACCATCTCAACTAAATCATGCCAACCTAATTCACAATACGTTCTTCATTTATATTGATAAATAAATAGTTCACATAGTTGTATTGGTTTTCTAAGATTATTGTTCGTTATCAAATTACGCCACAAATCCACTGTCCGTCTCCTACCATAATTTCATTATATTAAGAATGTTCCAAATACAACATTTTAATCCCTTAAATCTTCAAAAAAAAAAACAACAATTTATATGAAAAATCCAACAAGATCAAGTCACCATAACATCATATAGACTCCGCAATGCAATCCAGAGAATTATGAGAACAATCTATTAAACACAATTAAGTCAAATATATACTATGAGAAAAATAACTCAAATGCATAAAAAGAAAGATATAACATGAATGAACATCAAAAGTTCTTCATTATAAATGGCTGTTGCTACACCTAATTACTTGAGGGACAAATCGAATAACAAAAAACATATGGAAACAGATATCAGGTATTCGATATTCTTATCTTCCTATAGTAAAGTACATGAATTGGTACTACAAGCAACAGTGTGCGAAATTCGAATCCTAATATCAGCCAGAAACAACCATAATTAGCATAGAAAATGGAAATTTAATCGATCCCACATACCTAAGAGCAAAAGCAAACATAGCCACCCAATTAAATAATTAATTTCCTCTCAGCTCCATCACCTCAAAAACCATTTCCTTTTCTCTCTCTTCCATTTGTTTTATTTCCATACCACCCTCTCTCTCTCTCTCTCTCTGATTTCTTCCTTCAATACATTGATTGGTTCTTTAATTAGTCTTGCGCATCACTCTTCCTTCCCATTCCATCCCCTACTTCTCTCTCCTCCAACAACCTCCCAGCTTCCTCCCCACCCAGCTCAGCCTTCTTCTGCCCTTCCTTCGCCTTCAACGCCTGCAATTTGGAATGATTGTAATACCCAACACCCAAAAACGCAAGCCCATATCCAAACAAGTTAAGCGGAGTCACAGTGTCCTTAATCACGGACCACGAAAACGCAATCAACAGCCAATCCTTCACCACTCCGGCCACATTCATGGTCAATGCGGACGTCTTCCCCACAAGCAAAAATACAGCTAAATTCAAGGCGAAAGCACATAACGAATTGGTCCCGAAAATGACAAAATCGAAATTGAAATTCGAAGCCTGTTTCAAAACAGGGAATTCGACGAAAATCCAGGGCACAAACAAGAAGAGCAGGCAACACGGCGCAACATAGTAGAGCGAAGTAATGGGATTCAATGTGATACCTTTGGATGTGAGCAAGATCTGAATCATGACCAATCTAGTGGCCTCAAATGCCACAGCACCAAGTTGAAGAAACACCCCCCACGAATCGAATTTGGCCTCTCCGTAGGCGGCAATCCCGACCCCAATCGAGATGGACACCATGTTGGCCATCGTCTCCGATTTGAATCCCTCCTTCTTGAAGAGAATTCCGATGGTGTAGACGGCGACGGGCATTAGGGCTTTGAGCATCTGGATGAAGGAGACGGAGAGGTAGATGTAGGCGGAATTGGAGAGCCAGAGAGAGAGGGCGTAGAGGGCTCCGATGGGGACGACGGAGGAGAGGTAGAGATGGCGGGAAATGGAGACGGGTTCGACGAGGGAGAAGACGCGGACGGCGAGGAATGCGAGGGTGGAGCAGAAGGCCATGTGGATGATGGTGAGAGAGATTGGGAAAGGCCAGTTGTAGAGCTTGCGATCGAGGATGTACTTGTTGTAGACGATGACGGTGAAGCTGAGGAAGATCCAGATGGCTACGTAGGTGTAGGAGAGGAGGATCTTCTTGATCACGCCGTCGGCGAGTGACCCACCTTTGCCCATTTTCAGGAGAGGAAGAGAGAGAAAATGGAGGAGATGGGTGTGGAATGGGAGTGCGTATGATAAGCAGGGAAGGGGGTGTAGGATTAGAGGTGGAAGAAGAAGGAAGGGGTCAAGAGGGAGAGTTTAAAGAGGGGGGGAGTTTCAGGACTGACTGACGGGTGCTATAAGTGTTTCGGTTTAGACTTTTAGAGTTTAGAGAGAGAAAGTGTTTTAGAGAGAGAGAGTGTTTTAGAGTTGTGGGAGCAGTGGTTTACTGGGCTTTTGAGTTTTGGTGTGGCAAACTGAGAGTGACCTATACTAACTAACACGGAATACTAAAGATTTTTTTTTTTTTTTTTTTTTTTTTTGCATTGGTGTTTTATTTACATTTAAATATCAAAATGAATATGTAGTGTAGGTAATTTCCGAGACAAAAATATGTAGTGTAGGTAATTTCCGAGAAAAAAATATGTAGTGTAGGTAATTTCCGAGAAAAAAATATGTAGTGTAGGTACACTTTGTATCATTTTCATATATTTATATATAACTATTTACAAAATATTTTTAATTAATTTTTCGTTTGGTAAGCGTTTATGTTTAGGGGAGACAACATTTTTTAATTAAGAATAAAATATATTTCTATATCCCAAATTTATGTAATTTTTTAAATTTTTTCATGTCTATATTAAGAATTATAAATAAATTGAGTTGTCAAATTTGAATAATATTTAATAAGAGGAGTAGTGATAGGTCATTATGTTATATGTATAAGTTTTTTACCAAAAAATAAAAATAAAAAAATTAACAATATTTCCACTCATTAAAAAAGCATGCAATGCTTGAACAACCTTGGTGGAAACGAATTTTTTTTATTATTATTTTTTATAACAATTCTACTTAGAAAAGCGTTTTTTTTTTTTTTTAAACAGTAACACCAAATGAACTATCAAGCTTAGTTTAGTACGCATGAATGAAATGAAATGAAAATATAATGCAGCTAAAAATGAGATTAAATGTCTATTTTCCTTCTATTATTTGGTTTGGTTGCAAATATGAAAATAGTGTAGAAATGAAATAAAATGGTGTATTTTAACCAAAAATAAATAAATAAATAAATAAAATGGTGTAGAAATGAAATGCTAGTCACAATTCTAAATGGATGGCAGTGGAAGTGGTACGTGGAAGAAGGTGGTGGTGGTGGAATGAGTCGACAGTGGTGGTGGTGGAATGAGACGGTCATGGAAGGCGGTGACAATGACGATGGTGGTGGTGGCAGTGCTGGTTGCAAAATGCGGTGGTTGTGGTGGTGGTGATGGAAGACAGGAACGATCAACGGCGGAGCCCGTAAACGCCCAGGGGGGCACATGCCCCCCGGGCCTGGCTCCGCTTATTATAATACATATATTAAATTTATACGGTATATTTTTACATGTATATATGAAAAAATTCATATAATGCCTCTCCTAAAATTTTTATTTTCTTGAAATTATCTCTTAAATTTTGTATTTCATTCTCTTTCTTACTCTTTAAATTCGTTTAATTTCCTTTAAAAAAAAGTCAAATTTTCCTTTTTGAATCAAACTTCAATTTGTTTCATTTCAAAATTCTCTCATTTTTCTTTCCTTTTTTAAATTTTTGTTAACTATCATCTTTCTTAAATTGCTCACTGATTCACATATTATTTTAAGTAATTTTTCTTCTTTGTATCTTGATTTATAGAATCTATATTTATTGTGGTGATTATTGATTTTTTTTTAATTTTTTGTTTATACATTGTGCCCTCTAATTTTATTTTTGGCTTCACTTCTTATTCCATCAGTTTAATTGTGGAATAGATTTTATAGTCATTCTCACTTTAAATATCATATCAAATAAGACAATAGTTAAAATGGAATATCCATTCCATTTCATTACTATACACAAAACTATGCCTCGGTTCAATTCTGAGTTCAATTCTGAATTTGAGATTAGATAAACAAGTCAAGATTGAACTAAGACAGCCAAAAAAGGCCAAGCCAAACATGAACACTTGTACATAAATAGCTAATTGTTGTAATAGTTAAATTTTTTACTTCAAACAATGTTAGAGTTAGAGTTCGAGTTATTGTAAAAACGAAAGATTTTCAGATTTTTACAGTTCCCTTATTCTTTTTTACACTCTATTTACCAAGCAGTAACAATTTTTTATTATTATATTTTTTCCAGGTAACAATTTATGGACCAAGTAGTAATGAAGCTAGCTTTAAAACAGAGTCATGTCAATGATGCAAAACTTGAGAGTAACGGAGGACTTGAAGGAGAAAGAAAAAGACAAGAAAAAAACTGGGCTTATGTGGGCCTGAAAACCTATAGACTATAATAAGGCCACATTAAAATTCAGGCCCATTACATTCTTGGAGGGAGGGCTAATAAACTCGATTGGAACATGAATTTGAAGTCCGATCTTAGATCCGTAATCATTTTGAAAGGATTTAAACGCGCGTTCGATAAATTTGTCACGTGCAGCTGCACGAGTTGACGAGCCATGAACGTGGCGTGAGCGTGTTGAGTCACGTGACTTGCACACTTCTTACTGTCCGACTCTTCGTTCTGTAGCCAAAAGTTTCACATAACCACATATCACTCACACGCAAATATTATGAACATGTCCACGTACAAAAATACAAAAACAATCCTCATCTTCCTACTCTAATTCGGTAATTCCTTTGAGAAGTGAGGGCATAAAGGGAATTCAACTTTTAGTTTGCCACCACGTCTCTATTGGACTAACCAAGCCAAGATTTTGAATTTTAAATGGTCCAAATCAAGACTGTTTTAGCTTTTTTTTTCTTTTTTTTTTTTTATATTAGAATAAGTATATCCGTCCAATAACACATGCATCATTCAAGTTAGAAGTACCATTCGAACTTGAGTGGGTTAAAAACTTGTATTTATGATATTAAATTTCACTTATTTAATAAATCTTGAGTTCAAAAATGATTTTGAAATGACTGAAGGTAAAGAATTATTCGACCTTATATCGTTTAATAAAATAGTCTCGAATTTTATTTTTAAATAATAATAATAAGAAAAGTATAACTCAAACTATAAATGAATACCTCCCCTCCAACCTCATTCTCTTAAATCGTTTAATAAAATTGTCTCAATGTTATTTTTAAATAATAATAATAAGAAAAGCATAACTCAAACTATTTATGAATACCTCCAGCCTCATTCTCTTTAATTTATATATATATATATATATTACTCCAAGTTCTACAAGTCAATTTTTAAAAGAAAACCCCAACAAAATAATTGATTGACAGCCAATTCTTTTAATAAAAAAATTGACAAAAAAATTGTGAATGCTCTGGAGTGATAAAATAAATATAATTTTTAAGTCAAAGGATTATTATTAAAGTTAATCAAATTAAAATTATTATTAAAATTATCATTGAATATATATATATATATATATATATAATGTAGTGGGTAAAGTAGTAATACTCTGTCTTGCTAGATTTTAAGCTTATTTAGTGGACATGTCACAAAGTCACATGTTAGTTGTAATGTTTCTTATCTTAATATTAGTTAGGGTTTGGTTGTTTGGTTGTGGGGAACTGGGGAAGGGACATTATTGATTAAAGTCTTTTTGGGTTGCATTTAAAATAAGAAAAAGAAATCAAATAGATGTTGACAATTAAAAATAAAAATAAAAATAAAAAGTGGTTTGGTATATCCGTGTATGTAAAGTAGTCCACTATAACAAGTAGATAAGATACGAAACCATTTTTTATTGGCTTGTATGCATGAAGTCTCCATCTCGGGCTTAAAATAGTCCATGTATAAAAGAGAAAGGTATGGTAGCAAACAAAAATATGCATAGATAGTCCATCTTTGATAAAGTCAAGAAGAGGACCATGCTGGCGGCCAACCATCTCTCTCTCTCTCACACACACACACACACACACTAACGGACGAATTTGGGCACACACATATATACATACTAACGGACGAATTTGGGCCACACATTCGGACCGGCCTCAAGAGGACTCCTGTTTGACAAGAGACCATTTTTATACGTTGCTAACTCATAAACAAGAAATTTATCAACTATCATGCAGATGACTGGTTATATGAATGTTTTATTTTTTTTATATATTTTTTTTTTGGTAACTACCATTTTTACATCCAATTGTGACTCAAATAAATTTCTTATTCATATATATATATATAGGTATGGCAGACGGGTTTTCGTCTAGTCCCACTTGGTTCTTAATGGGACGAATTTGGTAGTTTCATGTATGAATTTGGAATAAATATGGTAAAATAATTGAAAATTCGAAGCGACTCGGGTTTGGGACGGGGGCAGATTTAGTAATAAACTTGTCCCAACTCCATCCCGATTATATATATATCTTTTAAAATTTTATATATATATTTAATATTTTTAAGATTCTTATTGTTTAATTGAAAGTGTCACTTAATATATTAATATTTACTTTACTACTTAATAATTTAAAAGTTGAGCAGCTTATTTATCAGCGAATCAAACACATTAGATTAGTTTTTTTTTTTTTTTACGTAATAAAAGTGGCATAATCTGTACGTAATTAAACGAAGTACACGGAGTGAAGTAAATACCCCAACTCTGGTTCATTTATTGCTTCGTATATATGTGTGTATTTGAACAAATAATTTACCGTCTACTTTCACTTAAAAAAGATATTAAAACAAGAGGCACCACTAAATTACATGCCCAAGTGATAACTAGGTAACTCATCATTTATTGAATGGGAATTTTTTTTTTTTCCTTGAACTTTCAAGCAATTAAGATTTTGTTTTCAATAGGGCTCACTAAAAACATTATTGAATAGGATTTTGTTTTTGAGTTGTGAGTGTGTGTGATTTATATACTATATATTTCACAAAAATTTTTATAGGTGGAGGGTCCAATCATACTTTGTACCAACCAAGCTCATTTACTACATACATGGTACTTTATGTCATTGCATTGTTGGATGTCGAAGGCGCCAATTGTATGATTCATTTATAAATGACCACAGATAACACGGTATTTAAGAAACTAGGCTGTCTCAAATGTAATCTTATCTATTCAGGAAACCAGCTATAATCGGTTAGGTGCTTCGCAATCTAATCTCGTTGGGTTTAGACCATCTTGTCTACACGGGATATCAATTATAACTGGTGGTAGGTAGGATTAACACCTAACCCATTTTTACCCACTTCACTTCACTTTACTATCCGGATTCGATGTGAGATAAGTCTCCAGTACCGAATTCATTTATATTCATTTCACTTCCCATTTGGATCCGATGTGGGACAAGTCTCTAAGTCTGACTCTGATACTAACTATAATTGGTTGAGTGCTTCGTGATCAAACCTAAAAACTTAAGCCATTAGATGGAGTTAATATCTAACACATTTATACTCATTTCACTTTCCATTCAAATTTAATGTAAGACAAATCTTTCCCTTATAAAACTAGTGCATCATGAACTTCAAGAACAAAATAGTGTGTCCACTCGTGATATATTAGTGGCACAGGACTTGGTACACTTTTACAAATGACCCTTTTTATTTCTCCACTATCTTGAGTTATCAAAACCTCATACTTTTGAAGGTTTCCTTTTGGTCCATTACTTTTTAGATATTTCATTCTTTTTGCCTTTCAAATGATGTCTCATTGGGGGGTGGGGGGGGGGGAGGGGGGATTATGAAGAATGGAACTACATAGGATGGGGAGGAACCCTTGAATGGCCCAAAGGACCAAATTTAGGCCCACATATCAAAGCATTGAAAATCCAAACGAGAGCCCAAAACAAACAAAATTGGAGCCCAAAACGTTTAACATTCACACTCTGTAATAGGATAGAGCTATGTTATCACTATGAAGAGCACATAGTATTCAGAATTTAAGTGTCCATGTATCTCTTGTTTCATGTGGATACAACTTTTAAAAAGTAATCCAATACATTTGCATTGAAGATACAACACTCATGCAACGACGGTGTTCCAACACCATTGAATCGAGAATTTAACGCATTTACATAATTCACAATTTAAGGATGACACACGAGAGGAAGAAAATACAAACACCACATTGTGCTTCAACCTGTCATCAATCTGCTGCAACAAGGGCTGCATCCCAAGTCAACTTCCATAGAACCTCCATTATATACATTGATTTTCAATCTGTCACTCCTCTTCATATTGGACCGTCATCTCATCCGGCAAGGACTCCATAGAACCTCTAGTAGTGGCAGCAATGGTAGAGCCAAAATCAGTCGTTGTTGTATCAGCAGATGAACGAAATGACACACAGATTGAACTAGGCCTAGACACCGGCAAATTCACCAGTGGCTCATCAAGGTTCAAGAAAATCTGAACCACTTTTCTCATTCTAGGCCGGAACGTATAGTTTGGATGCAAACAAGCTAGTCCAACAACCAAAGTCCTCTTCACTTGTTCCTCATCATAAGTCCCTCCAAGCTTTTGGTCCACACAATCAAGCAGAGCACCTTTTTCATATAAACACCACACACTATCCACCAAGCTATTCTCTTCCATGAAACTAGCTTTCGATCTTCGCCCACATACCACTTCTAGTGCCACCATTCCAAAGCTGTAGACATCAGATTCCGGAGTAGCCCTCCCAGTGAAGCTGACTTCTGGGGCTAAATATCCCGGTGTTCCTGCAATCATGGTTGTGACAGCCTCCTCATTTTGGAGCAACCTTGCAAGTCCAAAGTCACCCAAATGAGCATTGTATTCAGAATCCAACATCACATTGTTAGGCTTCACGTCGCGATGCACAACAGGGTTGTCACATTCTTCATGGAGGTAAACTAAGGCGGATGCCAAGCCGGTTAGCACCTTGTACCTGGTTTTCCAATCAAGAAAGCCATCCTTCTTGCCGATGAAATGATCAAGGCTGCCATTAGGCATATAATCATAGACAAGGAGTAGTTGCTTTCGCTCGTGGCACCAACCTTGGAGTTGCACTAAGTTCTTGTGCCTAAGGCGCCCAATTGTGCATATTTCTGCTAAGTACTCCTTCTCACCTGGACTCGGACAAAAAGAAGAAAATGGTTTTTACCCACATGAACAAATGGTAACAAATTTGGATGAAGAAATTCAAATATCTTAAAAGTACTGAAAAGAAAAAGTTTTCATAGGCCTAATTTTAACTGAATCAGAATTGGGAACAAACTTGGGGATAAATAGGCCTAGTTTCAACAGCATCAGAAATTTGGGAATAATTTTTGCTAGTTTATTTTGATATTGAATAGAACAAATGGTAACAAATTTGGGTTCAAAGAGAAGAATGGTCTTACCACATGAACAGATGGTAACAAATTTAGGAATAAAAAGGTATACTTTTAACTGCATCAGAATTTATATTGATGAACAATTTGAGCGAAAATATGAAAATTTGAGACAAAAATGTCTAGAGAATATAATTTAAATCTTTGTCAATATATATATATATATGAGCTGAAATTAAATGCAAAAAAGTATTAGGTACCTTGGTTTGATGTTGCTGAAATTCTTTTGACAGCAATAGTGGTAGAAGGATCTGATACAACCCCTTTGTAAACACTTCCAAAACCACCGGTCCCCAAAAGGTTCTCTTTGCTGAAGTTGTTAGTGGCCTTTGAAAGCTGCCTGTGAGTGAACATTTTGGGGGCATTGGCTGCATTCCTAGTTAGCATTTCGATATCCCCTTTTCGCCCTACCCTCTCACTTCTCCTCCTACGAGCTCTGAGGACGAATGGCAAAGCGAATGCAGTGAAGAGCAACAAGGCCATGACGATTGAAATAGTGATTCTCAACAAAGTCTTGTTCTCATTTTCTTTCCCGACCTCTAGAGATTGCTTTGGCAATTCATAGGAGGTGAAATTCCATTGAAGAACTTGATGAGTCTCGGAGTAAGTACCAGTAGAGGCCGTAAAGCCCACGTAAACTGAGCTAGGAACTGTTTTCTGCAAGATTATGGAAGTGCTGAGAAATCTTTTGAGGGGGTCTCCAGCATAGGCCACACTTATTTCAAGTAATTTGGTCCATCCATCGTATTCGATCTTGAACATAATTTCTCTTCCGCTCTTGAGATCAATGCCGGTGTCATTGAGACTCTTTACCGCAACAGGGCTCGATACACTTGTTGTGTCAATGGCTACATGGTTCCCATCTGGATCATATTCGTTCTTGTAAGTGTCTAGCTCAACTGCAAGTTGACGAAGAGAGCCACCTATATATATATATATATATATGCAGGTTAGATGAATGAGTTTGTATGATCAATATGATTCATTACCTACAATAAGTCCTGGACAAAATTGAGGAGTTATTAATTGTTCATACACACCTAATTTCTAGACATTCAAGCATGGCCAAAGGTGTACACACACCTTTATAAATATATACACACACAAAAATGAAAAACAACAAAAAAAAAAAAAAAAATTAATAATATAAGCTTCTGGCCACAAAATATTCATTTATATATACACACACGCACACATATAAGGTATTTATATTAGCAGTGTGTGTACATATTTGCTCATGGATATCATCAGAAAAGAAGAGTAATAGAACTTAGAGAATTGAAGTGAGCAGTTTTTCCATAATAAAGAACAGTTACTAAGTTTTTTTTTTTCTTCTTAAAATTTATATGATCTACTTATTAGTTTATATATACATAACCGGAAATGATCTTTTGCACACCAGTGAACAAGAAATTTTTCTACAAGACGTTGGATATGATTCAAGTGTATAAAAAAGGTAGTTACCAAAAAAATATATAACAATCATATCCTAGGGTCATTATGTTTAGCGTGGATAAATTTGATATATATATATATATATATATACCTTGAGTTGAGTGATCAAATAATCCAAGATATGAGCCAACGCTCTCTGGTGGTGAGGGGTGATCATCCTGTGCAAAAATAAAAGTCATTCCATCACCATATCCTGTTGCATTGATGTCCGTCACAATCCTAACAATGAAGGAGGTGGATATATAGGCCGGCCAGGCCAGCACCGGGTGGCGGTGCAAAACCCTTCCCACGGTGTTGGAAGTCGAATTGGGATCGATTTGCTGCAGGCTTTGGTGGTCCGGCGTGAGGCTCAGGCAGCCGTTGGCGGCAGTAACAGCCCCCATGCACATCAAACTACTTGCATTGCCGCCACAACTCTCGGCATCAAATGCAGTGTAGGTGAATGTGTAAGGCTCATTCAAGGTGTACGAAGCTTGGCTAAACAAACTAGAGAGGAATAAAAGCATTAACATGGCTGTGAATTAATTAAACAGAGATCATACAATGGAAAACAAAGACTATAAATGGATAGGAGTGTTAAAAATTAGTACCATTGATTGATGATTATGTTGTTTTTTAGTTTCTTAGCAATGAAGTTTGAATTCCATGATAAGGGTACTTAAATTCTTCAATTTGGATTTTATATAAGCTATATATTGTCATTTGTGCAATGAACTAACTTTGCCATGACAAAAAATTTCAAGGTTTTGTCTTCTTCTGTATAATAAAATATTAAAAATTAGAATAATACAAAAGGCTATTCAACTAGAATAATAATAAAATATTAGAAATTTCCTTACCAAAAGAGAAAAAACTATGCATGTGAATGAATTTGGAGTCAAAAGACTGAATTAAATTACTCATCTAAGTAATTTTCATGATTACTCTGAAATTTGATGGACTGAACAGTAAGATAAGTCCTGAATATTCCAACTATTAACCTTAGTGTGACTCACTATGACTAGTGGACAATGCTAATTGGGTGCAAAATAGGATAGCCTTGGTATTTTATTATCATTATTAGGGTAAATTACACCTAGACCCCTTATGGTTAGGTCATATTATACCTATATGAATATTTTGGTTTTAGATTTCACTTATATATGAATTAGTGATTTAGCATTTCACTTGCACCCCAAATATCAATTTAAGACTATACTACCCTTTGACCTCATATTAATTATATTTGTGACCAAACTACCCATCCCCCCTCTCTGTGACCCTTCCCCTCTCTCTCTCTCTCTCTCTACCCTCTTTTTCCCCTTTCTCTCTCTCTCCCGTCGGAATCAATTGTAGTCGGCGAAACCAAACTCAATTCGGATTACAGGCTTAGTGAAACCCAGTTCTTCTTCGGCGAAAAACGACAGAACTGAACTGACCCAGTTCCGGCGAGATCCTAGTGTCGGTGAAACAAAACTCAGTTCCGGCGAGCTCCAAGTAGCAAAACCCAGTTCATATCGGCGTGTTCCCAAGCGACGACAAAGCAAAGACAGGCATCTAGTCAGAGCAATCAGCGATGATGGCGTCGGATGTGGCTGTGAGTTGTGGATCTGTGATGCAGCGGGCCGGCGGGGGTGGTATATGGTGTGGGTGATATATATGTGTGTGTGTGATTTGGTGGAAAATGGGAAAGAAATCCTAAATTGAAGAAAGAAGACAAGGGTTCAACGCCGCCGGAGGCTTCGACATCATCGCCGTCTTCTCCACTGTCGTTGCCGTTTGATTTGACAAATCGTCGTCATCGACGAATCGATCCCATCGTCTCTCCCGCCGCCATCGCGACCACCTCCACCACGACCTCTTTCACTGCCGCCGCGACTGTAGCTACCTCTCTCCACACAAACCCTCACACACAGATACGCAACTGTAGCACGAGATGAGGATTTTTGCCGCCGATTACGACGCCGTCGAGGCTGTAAGCGTAATACGATGTGTCGCTGTCAAGATATATTGATTTGGCCACCGTAGAGCTTGTAATCCGACACCTGCCGCCGACATCAACTCGCCTTCGATTCTTTGTCATCGACGTCCATTTCTGCAGTGGGTGGGATGGGATTTTGTGTATTTTTGGGTTTGGTTTTAGGTGGGTGGTGGTGATAAGACGTTCGGTGGGGGTGCAGTTTGGTTTTGGGTGGGTTGGCGGTGCAGGGAGGTGTTAAGGTGGGACGTTGGTGGAGCTGTCGGTGTTAATGGTGGGAGCTGCCGGTGTTGAATATATATATATATATATATATATATATATGGGCTTTTTTGTCATTTAAGATTATATATATATATATTGTATTAAAAAATTGAGGGTAAAATGTTCTATTCATATATATTAGAAGTCAAAAAGTAAATTGGGGTGTAAGTGAAAGTTAAAACCAAAATCTTCATCTGGCTGAAATATGACCTAACCTCAGGGGGTCTAGGTGTAATTTACCCTTATTATTATTATGTTATACTTTGGTGCTGAACTGCTTAGCACATCTGGATTGCGGTAAAAAAGTAGAGGATATTTGTATAAAATAGAGAGGAGAGTCGGTGTGGGTGAAAAGTGGAGTAACAAAATTGTGGTTCCATTAGTTGTTATGTACTGCATTGTCCACTATTGGAGAATACTATAAAGTATATCTATCCGTTTTGACACAATTGTTTAATCATGGGTTGTCTTTGTTTTTGTCTTTTTCTCACACATCACTTCTAATTTAATTATATAATAATAAAGTAGACAATGAAAAAATGAATTCTAATGTCCACACTGTATAACATAATCTAAAATGCATATTATCTATCTACTTTATTAAAATATGCTGACATGACACTCTACTATTTTAAAAGTAGATAAATAGTATACTTATTGCACTCCAATGCTCTTATTTCCTTTCTTTTTTTAAGTGGGGTAACCATGGCCAGGTACACAAGCTAGTGTAAAAATCAAAATTAAAATTACTAGTATGAAAAAAAAAATTTTAAACAAATAAATAAATTATAATTACTACTAACTTTTTAATAAAATTATTATTGTTACCAAACAACTATATATTCTATACTCGATTCACACTGACCAATGGGTTGGAAAGATTGAGCACTGTTGCGGGTAATATCGTGACTCGAAATACTTGCTTTAACCTTTGAGAAAAATAATAATTATTATAATAACTGATAAGTGCTTAAATGTTGCACATTTCAGCACCTAAATTAGGGTATTTTAATCCTTACATCTATCTTATTTTCATGTTTTAGTTCTAATTTATGTTTTTGTTAATTTCAGGTCAATAAGGTTCAAACGGATTAATTTTGGTCCACTAAAGCTTTTTTGGAGTCAAGCAAAGACATTCAGAAAAGTTCAGAAAATGGCGAAAAAAGGTCGCAGCTCATTGCTCGTATAGTGTACTTATTCTTCAAAAGGCGGTCAATTCTACCTTTCTTGGGCCTTTGATGATGTTCCCAAAGGTGAAAAAGCAAACCAATTATCCCTGGGCCAAAATGGAGCTAAATAAGGTGTAAAAGGAAAATGCAACTCTAAGGGATCGATCCCCCAGAGTGGGGGATCGATCCCCCACTATTCACAGAACTAAAAATGCCCTTGGGGGATCGATCTCCAAGGTTGTGGGATCAATCCCCCAGTACTTGGCAGCATTACGGGATTTTCTTATTTTTGGCTTATTTTTGTAACTTATGGGCTTTAATAGGGTCTGTTACTTAGGGTTAGTTTTTCATTAGTTTTAGTGAATATTATTTTTGGAGAATGAATTATTATTTTAGTCTCTATCGTGATATTACGCTCTCTCTGAAAAACACGAAAAAGGGAAAAAGCTAAGGTTCTTGGAAAAAGCACAAAGAAGAAGAAAAATTCAGAGAAGATGAATTAGATGATGGAATTTGTTCTATCTTCGAATCCATCAACCATGAGTGACTGATTCTTCTACTTAGGGTTGGACAAACCCTAAGCATGTAACATATTCTTTCTCTCTTTTTACTTTTTGGGGATTAATTTATGTAATTAGTGTACAGTCTTGAACATTATGAATTAAATTCTTTCAATTGATTATCTGTATTAATCTCATATTGTCTTATGTGTGGTTGATTGATAAACAAATTTTACACATGAATTTTTTGTTAATTGATTCTTGTGATGGCTATACATGGTATTGATTAGTTGTAATTGTGTCAAATTGATGGAAAATTACTTCTATTTGATGGATGGCACTACATGTTTAGGTTAATTTAGTGTCTAATTAGTTTTAAATTCATGTTTAATTAGTTTAATTTAAGTTTAATTAATTTAACTGCAATTTAATTATTAGGTAAGTAGACCATCCATACTTATGTTTGAATTCCATACTTTTTGCCACAATTACATTATCCTCTAGATTCATGTGAGTTGAAATTGCTAATTGAATTGATGGATCATGTTTTGAATTAGTGAATTGATTTACACTTAGTTAATTGTCATTAGGTAAACGATTCAAGCTTTAAATTGAAACTTCATACTTTTCATTGCAATTGTTAGCCACATTTAGATTATACATTTTATTTCCCCAATTAGTTAAAAGTGAGTGAGTTAGGGAATGTGCTTAGTAGTGAATCCTACACTCTAAGTCTCTTTCCAATCTTTTAAACTCCATAATTTTACTGCAATCATTTAGTTTAAAATTAGTCTAATCACAAAACCAAACCTTTTTAGCAATCACATAAGCACCAAAGTAGAATTCCAAAACCTATAATTGTTTAGATCTTTTGGGACGATCCCTGCTCACTTCATACTCCATAGTATAAGGTTTAGTGATTTTATAAATTTTAAAATATGGTGCCCATGACATTATTTCTAAACCTAAAGTTTTGTGCATTATTTTGTGCACACGCTCGGTTGTGTCAATAACCAACACAATGTAAAACTACACACATTTTTATTTTATTTTTATTTTATATTTAATTTTTGGGTAAGTAGTAGAATTTTTCACCTGGCTTTGCATGATTCTCAATTACATCAGAAGGAATAGATGCCTGCGTCAGGTAAAGATATTACTCCCTACCCCGAGAGATACTATACTAGTACCCATACGTACTACTTTTTTTTTTTTTAATAGTAATTTACGGATAGACACTAAGAAATTCAATTTACATGAAAAACGGTGAATCCTATACCATGACATAATAAAATGAAACCCAACACCGAATTCGATCCTTAGATCATTATTTTTTTTTTTAAATGAACACGATATTAAATGAAATATGTGAAAAATCTAATGTAGGTAACCCTTCTTGCAACATTTTTGTTCCTCCGATCATCATTATATTGTTAAGAGGCCCCACTTGTCCAATTTAGATATGCATGTTACACACATATCATAATTATTCCCAATTTAATATGTCATGTGGTGACAACACCAATATATGATACTCCAGGTAACAATGTTCAAAACTACCATTAATCACATGAATCCTACAAAATATGACCATCAAAACAGTCACGGCCATAACAATTACAGATCTTCAACAAGCTGAATCAAACATATAAACAAAAAAGTAACTACAATGGAGGCAGACGATGCCAAGAAATAAGAACATTGCTTATAACCAATGTCATATGATTACTAGCAAACATAAATATTAACTGAGCACAGTTAATACTCCATGATCTAGCATTCATAGGTGCATTAACTACCCAAACAAAATATACTGCAAATAGTTTCCAAAGTTATGATTTTTTTTCAGAATGTTGTCCATCTCTACTCGGGCTGCACCAACCCACCGCCCCCAAAATAAAAAAAATAAAAAAAAGGAAAAACGGATAGCAAAAAAAAAAAAGTGAAGATTAAAAGTACAGTAATAAAAAACAGTGTAAAGCATAAAGTAATCTCTCCCTTCAACGATTCAGCACTAGAGCGACCAACAAAAAATTTCATGGCTGCTGGTCCTGCTTCACAAAGTCATGCATTGATGCTTGTGTCACTGACCTTCACTATGATGGCACTACAAAAAGAATATTTTGAACGGTAAGTATAACGAATCAAGAAACTATATGACAAATTATGGCAAAATTGGTTGTGTGCCAATTACTATGGGATATAGGCTTGAAATATATTTGTGGAGTTATTTAATATTCCCAGGAAAAAAAAAAAAAAAAACCCAGGCTTCACCAACTTGGCATCAATAGCACCACTGTAACACTGGCTTAAGCTACAGTCACCTACGGAGGTAGTGTATCTTAAGCCAGCCTATAAATATGGTGAATGCTGTAGGGGCAGATGGTGAATAAGTCATAATATCTTGTATTGTGGTAGACCCAAGCTTCTTGATGTGGGGCAGATGGTGAATATAAGTTATATAACAAATATCAAACATAAATTTCTAGGATAAGTGGGACCATACTATATGTAGAGGTATCAATCTGCTCAGGGAGCTCCTTTATATCCACCTCAAACCTCTCCTGAACCTGCAATCAATCAACAGGCATATAGTCCAAATAACAAAGATGATCAACATGATGATAAGAAATAATGAGGATAGTACAAACCTGATTAAGAACATCAGAGTCAGAGGCAGAAGATACAAATGTGATTGCAAGTCCTTTGGTGCCGAACCTACCAGCTCTACCCACCTGGCAGGATTCCAATAGTAATCAATAAGAAAAACATCTCAGGAATAAAACATAAAAGAAATGCCGGACTTGAGACACAATAAGCATCAACATCATACTGGACTTATACCCTGTGCAAGTAAGTATCTGCGGAATCTGGCATGTCATAGTTGATGACAATGTTGACGCGTTCAATGTCAATTCCCCTGCCAACCAAATCTGTTGCAACAAGTATCCTCTTATGACCTTCCTTGAAACCCTTGTAGCGTGTCAACCTACAAATCCCAAAGACTTCGGTTGATAATTTAATCCAAGTCATTATTTAATAGACAGGAAACATAATTGAACTATGCAGAAAATGAATTTAGTGTCCCAAAAGATTTTGCATCCGAGTCTTCATTAGTTTCTATTTTAAGATTCAAATGAATACAGATACGTAAATATTAGATAATTTTAAAAAAGAAAATAAATTCCACAGCAAATCAAGAAACACAGGTAGGCACACAGTTAGTTCAAATCTCTTACATGATTTAATTAATCCAAGTTTACAGAAATAAATAAAGAATTTGTGCATTCTTGTGATACTTATCTTCACTTTTTATCTGTAGATAAGAAGAATAATACTCACACGAATTCAACTTCTAATTTGTGCCACCATATAAAAAATACAAGTAAAGCTGGGATTGACATGATAGCATGCCTCCTAGTAAAACTAACAATGTTAATTAAAAAACATAGAAAGAAGGGCAGAACTTCAACAGCAGATTTAGTGTACAATCACAAGATTGTTAAAATTTACATGCTCGTCACGTTTGTTAGGGTATATCATAAATTCCAAACATATAATTAAACAACCAATTAATTAATTAATGTAACATTAACTCAACACTCAACAGTCATAATAGATAATGCATTTTCCACTGCAAAACATAAAAATAATTTTAAAAGATATATTGTGCACTTCTCTGCAAGAAGGTAAACAAGCCCATAAAAGATGCAAACCTTTCTTCCTGGGACATGCCAGAGTGGATGCAGATAGATGGAAAATTACACTCGACAAGTAGTTTGTTCAGCTCAGCTGCTCTGTTCACACTTTTGACAAAGATAACAACTTGATTGAAGTCCAATGCGTCGAGGAGGTCGTTCAATTTGCGGTTTTTCTCCAGCTCACTCAATTTGATGTAGTGCTGGCATGATAAAAATTTAAAATCAATAAATAAAAAATCAGATAAATGTTAACAATTGAATAAAGATCAGAGAACCAACTTCCAAATATATACCTGCACAAGCCCATGAAGGGTCAACTTTGCCTCATCATCCACATAAATTTCCATTGGCTGAAAGGAACAAATGTTACAGTAAATCATATTAGGAGCCTTCCTGAAGCAATGGAATCCAGAAATGAATGATGGATGAACATCCCTTGAAGCGAGGTTCTGGTCCATCTGATCTGTTTCCTTGCAGATACTTTCTTAAATCACGCCAAGCAAGTCCACTGTTGCTCAACACAGTTACTACTATGCCATCAACAGTACCAACCCAGGTAAGACTCCCACCACCAAACCTAAACTAGACAAGAGCACCCAAGCCCCAAAAGAAACAAGAAAATAGACTCGAGGACACAAACCAAAGGGAAAGCTAGTGCATAAACATAAAGCATCCCTCAACTTTCAGATCTAAATTATCCTACCTTGCCCCTCCCACTACCACTCCATTACCGCTACATTACGCAATAGAAAGATTGAATAAAGGTAAGCCAAACGCGACAAATGATAATAATACAGTGCCACGACCACTGCATTCTTAACTATCTACATTAACCCCTGCAGAAAGCCGGCATTTATTAAAAAAACGGTTGACTTCTAAATTCAAGTAGAACTGGCCATGGAACATTACATCTTGCATGAATTTCTTGCAAACAGGGCGGATCTCCTTGCTGAGTGTTGCCGAAAACATCATAACTTGCTTATCATGAGGAGTCATCTTGAAAATTTCCTGCACATCTCTCCTCATGTCTGCAGAACACAAAAAACCCAAGAAAAAGTGAGAAAATGAAAAAATCTAGAATGTAGAAAAAAAAATTTAATGTTCTGAAACAGAATATATTAAAAAGAGAAAACTAATGGGGAGACATACCAAGTGACTCAAGCATCTTGTCGCATTCATCAAGTATAAAATGCCTCACGTTTCTTAAAGCAAGGTCCTTATCCCTTGCAAGTGCAAGGATCCTTCCAGGTGTTCCAACAACAATATGAGGACATTCATTCTTCAGTAGGTCCTTGTGAATTTTGATATTGACACCACCATAGTAAACAGCAACCTTGATATCAGGCAAATAAGTGCTGAACCTCTCAAACTCGTGACAGATCTGCAAAAGTGGCGGATAATCCGCCAAAAAAATAACAACAATGATTCCCTGAAGGAAAAGATGAGAAAGAAAAGTATGGAAGTACAATCTAGAGAGGTAACACGAAATGAGAATCTTAAAACTAAGCAGCTAATAACAAATACATACCTGATAAGCCAATTCCCTTGTATGACACAAAACAAGTGCAGCAACTTGACCTGCATTAGGCTCAATTTGCTGCAATGTGGACAGGACAAAAACAGCAGTTTTACCCATCCCAGATTTCGCTTGGCAAATGACATCCATTCCCAAGATAGCTTGAGGGATACATTCATGTTGCACTGGTGAAGAGCCAAAGAAAAATCGGAAAAGGGAACCCCCAGTTTTAATTGAAAGGTTTACTACCAAACCAGTATACTTCTCCAAAAATCAAGAGTACGATAGATGATTACCTGAGAGATGGACATTCAAAATTGCTTAGAAAACAAAATCTCAAGAAACTAAGCATCAAACAAAAGATATGTAATTATTCAGTCACATGACTTTACAATTTTTATTATAAGGCAACTATTCAAACAGCATTAGGGGGGGGGGGGGGGGGGGGGGGGGGAAGAGAGTTTCTAATAACCGTATAGAACAGCAACATATCTCGACATGCTATTAATAGCTATTCATATCAAAATAACCCTTTATTACATAACCAAATAGAGGCATAAATCAAAAAGAAAAGAGAAAAAATAACATCATATTTAATGACAAGGAGAGCCGACAAAGCAATGGTAACTTCAAAATGTGAGACTACGGTAGAAAGAACAAGCTACCATGACTCAACTAAACATGGGCAGCATAATTCATAGTATCAGCTCAGATGGGACATACAAGTCTCTATCAAGGTAATATGATATATAGATGCAATTATTCAACAAAACATAAAAGGGAACTACTAGATTAAGCTCTCACTTGAGCTGCAAAACCAGACCAAAACAAACCAAGCCAACTCAAGAAATGGTCCAACCAACATATTAGTTGATCACAAACCATGTGAAATTGGGAATATGATTTAGTCATAGTTCAGGAGTGCTTAAAGAAAACTAACAATCAAAATTGACTAGATTGACTCCTGGCATAGGGTTTCCAAGAAGTGGACCAATCATTCATAGGAGTGATGAAAAATTAGAGGATGAATTCATTAACTGGCTTGTTTGCTTGAAAGCTCTTTGCAAATAACAAAATTGTACATAAATTTTTTTATACATGGTTCATCAGCAATAAAATCATTAACTTTTAAACTTAAATGTGATTCAAACAGTAATTGAATGAAAATTTTCTTATAATATTATATCAGATTAACAAACTGTTAATTCAATAATGTGAGACTGTATGTTCAGTTTGAACAACTAAAATAGATTATGGTTGATTACATGAAAAATGCTCCTCCTTTTTTGTGTGGTTCTATCCGCCTTTAAGATGAACATCTAGCTTTGGAGTTAATATATGAACCGTAACATTACGATTTACCTAGATTTAAAAAGACAGCATAGCATAATATTATGGCTAAGACTGAAAGGACAAAAAAGATTTATATCTATTTAAAAGGCTTTTTTAAAATTTAACTCATGAAATCAAATGACTAGCTGATTAAATATCTTGCCTTCGGAAGGATGCTCAAATCCCGAATCCACAATAGCACGCAGAAGCTCCGGCTTTAGAAGGAAATCTCTGAATCCAGAACTGTGAATTCCAACATAGCCCCTACAAGAAAATAAAAGAAAATCAGTAAGGAACAAAAGAATGCTATAACAATCTTTAAACCTGCCAAGGAAAACAAGAACTGAATATAAACTTTGTTGGATCATCAAAACGTGTTGTACTAACACAAGGCAATTGTTATTTTAGGAGAACAACTTCCTACAATTGTTATGCAAACTTAGTACTAGTAGACTAACTGCAGAGCTGTACAAGAAAAACAATACAGCAGCAGTTGCATTAATACTCCATACTCAATCTCAGCTGCCCAATAAAACCTATTTACATTCCACAGTTTATACCAGAGGATAATTGACCGACAGCCAAACGCTTAAAGAAAACAAATGCCAAATCAACTTCATTCCAAGCCCAAATGCATTCAATTGCGTCCCCAAAATTTCACTCACAATAAGATCAGTGGAAATCTAAAAAAAAATTAAGAAATAGAAAAGAAAAGAGCAAGCTTTGATTTGAGGAACAAATCCTTAAGACCAATACCAAACATCTTACCCCACTAACCCACCAGCAAAACCTCCACAAAAACAGATGAGAAATGAATTACAAATTTCAGGATAAAGTGAATTACGACACAACAAACAGAGCCTAGACTTGGTGAAAATCCTAATCTCCGTATCAAAGCAGATATTGACTGTGATATAAATGACAAAATAAAAAAATAAAATCACAAAAATATCCAAACAAGGATTAATGAACAAGATCCACTATATAATCAAATAACAACAAATTAACAAGAAAAATACACCCATATAATATACAAAACCATACATATATACACAAATATTCTTAATGCATAAAATCACTAACTTTTTAACGGATTCGCCGTTGACTTTGGCGGTGACGGAGTCGGGTGCTTTTTCATCTTCCTCCTCGTAGTCGAGAAGCTCTTCCTCGTAACCATCGGTGTCCTTTGTTTCGCCCATTCTATCACACATCAAAAAGTCTGAGTTAGGGTTTCAAATTTCGATCCGAAAACAGAGACAATCTGGGGTTTTGAGGAAGGTTGTTCACCTTCGGATCTGTGAGAAGGGGTGATTAGGGTTAGGGTTTGAAGCGTCTGCAGAGAAAAATGTTAGGAAATAAATCGAAACAAAAAGTAGTATGCGAGAGAGGAGACCTCAGCTAGAGAGAGAGAGAGAGAGAGAGTGATAGGGTTTTGCGATTGGGAGAAGCAGATTAAAACAGGCGAATATACAACTATCTGACCTGTGTGTCCTCGATGTTTGTGGATAATTACAACACTGCCTAAAGTCGGCAAAAATCTTGGGTATGTCGATTGGGCCGTTCCAAGCACAAGTCTGCCCAGTTCCGCCCAATTAATTGGGCTAAGTCGCCTTTTAAAGCCAATCACTGATTTTGGCCCAAGTTCTCCACCCGAGGCCAGTTCAAATCCCGAAATAAATAGGTGTTCATTGGTAAATTACCTTTAAAATTCTTTTATTAATTTTATTGTAAGTTCATGTAATCTAATCAGTTCACATAGATTTTTTTTTTTTTTTTTTTAAAGGATTTTAGTTGTATGGGTGCCACCTTATGGTATACGCGAACCACAATGATAGGTGATGGTAGGCTCAACACGAGGGCAGTGACGGATTCAGAAAATTATGTGAAGTTGGTCGTTTTTAATAATGACTATGTGAGAGGAGTCATCTTTAATAACAATAAGATAGAAGAAAAAAAATGCAAATTATCGTAATAAGTAAGGGAACTTTTAGGTTAGTACATGTAAAATTGTCCTGATGACTTTTCATATTTTAAAAAGATCGTATGATAATATATATATATATATATATATATATTTTTCAGTACATACTGTCAAACCATCACTCATCATCCATTCGTCTCCCATCTTGTTGTACAATCGATTCTTCACGGTAATTATAGTAAAAAATGTCCTTTCTATATAGTGCTTCAAATACACCAACAATAAATAAAAACATGATAATCACGCTAATTAAAGTGTCATAATGTGAACCCCAACACACATCGCTAGCTCATTTAGGAGAAGTATTCTGATTTAGGTCTTACCCACTTAATAGCTTGACACTATTAAGTGCTTCATTAACAATGGAAGTTTGCTTCTCTGCAAGAATATCAAGACATTTGCATGAACTACCAACTGCGTTCACTAACATTCGCAACAAGAGTGAAAAGAGAAACAATATCTTCATTTTTTTGGCATAGCCATGAAAGCAAACTAAAGTTGATGGGCAAAGCAATAAATGTAAAAGGCACAGTCATTCTCCTTTGATATAAGAGTTTTAAAAACATTGAACTCGTCTCGCATATTACTAATCCCATCATAACTTTGCCCGTGCAATTTAAAAATGCTCGGCCATATCTAAAAATTAAATCATCAACCGTAGTCTTAACTCTTAAGTGAGAGGGCAGTGATGTTAGTAATATGCACAATACCCGCAAAACATTATAGATCAACATGACAGCCGTTGAAATATATATATATATATATATATATGTGAGCCACTATTATAATACATACATCAGAAGTAACTAACACTATTCTCCACCAGAAATTTGGGTTGAATGATTCACTGCTTGAAGCAGCATAATCCACTAACAGTCCCTCTTTCAACTACACGGAGTACTTGTACAAAATTTATCCTTCAAAATTCTCCAAGTCACATCCTGCAAATACAAAGACAAAAAATAAAAGATTGTTTTTATATAGAGCAGAAGAATTTGTAAATTCATACTAGTAAAGTGTAATTCACCAAACAGAGACCATGGAAAATATGTTATATAACACAAAATCCAATTTCCAGGCAAATTTTCTTTTGATAAATAATTTAAGTTGTCAAACTAATGATGTCAAAATAAATCATGTATTATAGATCCGGATACATATTTCAATGCCAATAAATAATTATTACTCAAAATGTTCACGGATTAGACCCTTGGGTCCATCCAAGTAAATCAAAATAACCATTAATAAAAGACAATAGTCTATTATTCTTCCAAATTTAAGAATTACTCGCTATAACACTAATAAGTGAAAAATTAGTATGATAATTATTGTAATTTTTTCAGTTATTATTGATCTAGTTTAATGTGTCCTACGTATCAACACTAGTAATTTAAATCTTTCACTCAAATGAACGAGACAAGTCATCTTATATCATAGAAACCAACATGTTACATTCTTTCAAATAGCATGTCCAAGTTCTATCACTAAATTCAAAAAATGTTTAAGATAATACAATTCAATAATTTATACCTCCTATGGCTAAGACTCTTTCTTTTCATCTATATTACATAATAGTTAAAGCACAACTTAATTTATCTCATGAATTGACCAATACAATCATTCCCCTTATGTAGGCAAAGTGAAAGTATTACACTATTACAAGCATATACTATATTACTATCAATAAAAAATGCAACAAGTGAAAGATGATTCAATTATTTAATATGGTATTACAAAATTTTCCTTTATTTACAAACTTAGCCGGTGAGAATTAATTGGTTTTAAAAGTGAAAGTCCAACCATATGATAAGACTGAAAATTTGTGACAGAATATTAAAATCGCGCACACACACATACATATAGGCACTTCATTTTTCTCCAATTGCACTCCATTTATTTTTTTCTTTTAAAAAAAATGATAAAAAATCCTTAAATTCATTAAAACACTGCTACCATCCCTTAATTTATAATGTCATAACTACCCTTAATTTTTACAGTACAATTTTTTACCATCTTTACTTTCTTTATTATTTTATTTTTCTTTCTTTTTGTTTTTTCCGGAGGTCCTCTTCAAGAAAACAATTTATTCCATACTAAAAATTTTATTTTTGACAGTCAAAAGAGATAAGAATATATAGCAAACTTTTTATTTTTATTTTTTGGTACAATCGAAAAAGATATTTATTCAACAAAGCTAACTTTTTTTTCACAGTAAAAAGAGGTACTTTTTTTTTTTGTAATTTTTTATTGGTTGTGCCAAAAGAAATAATTTATTGGATAAAAGCAAAAAAAATTTTTTGGGTCTTATCAAAAGAGATAATTTTTTTTAATGCTCTTCTTTTTGTACGTTTTTTTTTTTTTTTGATCTTGAAAAAAGAGATAATTTCTTCAATAAATATAAATATTTTTTTTCATGTCAAAAGAGATAATTTTTAATGGTTACTTTTTATTTTTTTGGTCTAGTTGAAGTCAATTTATTCAATATAATTTTTTTTTTTTTTTTTGGTTTCTTAAAAAAATATATATATTATTCAAATTTTTTTGTCTAGTCAAAAGAAATATTATAGATAAGGAGAGGAATTATGAAAGGCAGTTGTGTGATTTAAAAAGTAATAATTATTTACTTGTAAAGTTAGGATTAGAATTATCATTTTATTTAAGATTATAGTGAAAATATTAAAATAGATATATATATCTATATTATCTTGATAAGAAATACATGTACGCATATTTTTGCCCATGAGTCAGAGTAGAACCCTCCCTTCTTTTTTAAGGATGGACTAGTTGCGCTCGGTTAAATGCACATATTAACTACCCTAGTTTTAGCCACTTGCTTTACAAAGTTATGTTCTGTATGGAGAACCTCCAACAGTTTAAACAATTCGGGAATCCATTTCTAGTGACCCCTAATAAAAATCCGAACTGAAATATAAATAATTGAAAGAACATCCAAAACTAAACCACTGTAGACCAAACTCACAGGAAAACCGAAAAAAAAAAAAAAAACACTGTTGCAAGGAGCCTGGCTCCTATGGCCTTGGAGCCGGCTCCCAGATCTTGTGCAAAATGGATACCATGAATTGCTTGGTTAATTCCTACTAGCTTTCTTGGTGTTTCCCTTTTTAATTTTTATACATGCAGATAATTTTTTTACTTCTCTCTTACTATAAAAAAATAAAAACCATTAATTTTGACTGTTTAATCTTTATATGTTCTATATTGAAATGTACGCAATAGATAGTTCATACATGCTTAAATGTGGGACAATCCCATTGTACTTTTTTTTTTTTTTTTTCAGAAAATGAAAGAAAAAGGCTTGGTTGGTTCAATTTTCAGATAAATAATTTTTATTATTAAAAATCAGAAAACATAAATTGAAAGTATCTTGAAAAATATTTATATTATCATATAATGACACGTTTTATAATAGTGATAGAGATACTATGGCACGACAAAATAGAGTACAGGGTAATTTAGGATAAAAAGAAGAAGAAGAAATTGTGTTGTCAACTTCTTTAGAATTTGGAAGATGAATAAATTTCCTTTCTTTGTTTGATGGAGGAGAAGATGAAAAAAAGAGACACTGATGAATCTTTCTTACTGGTTTGAGTTTCCGGCAGGGTCATTGGAGATTAGAGGCTTATCCGGTCCTTAATTTCGGAATTTCGTAGAATTAGTTGAGGTGTGCACAAATTCGCCGGACACTATGATTATAACAAAAAAAAAATAAAAAAATAAAAAGTGATGAACAAATTTCCAATGTCCAGTACGGAAGAGAGGAAAAGAATTGGAGGAGGAACGAGACTTCACCAATAGGTGGTACATCATTTTGTTTTCATTCAAAATTGAATGGAAGAGGAGAGAGAAAGAATGAAGAATTATAAGAGAAAAAAAGGGTACCCACCAAAAAGTTGCAAAAGCCTTCCCGCCTGAAGACCCCACACCGTTTACTCTCTTCTCTATCTCTAAACTTCCTCGCGAAGCAAAATTATACTGTTCTGTACTTGGTACCAATATATATATATATATATTATATACACAGTACACACACTACTCAGCTCTACTCCAGCCAAGCTACATATTGCTTCTTTTCTTCATCACCTGTCTCTCTCTTTCAATCGCATTGGTTATTCATCTTTTCTGTCTAAGATGGTTTGTACGTTTGGTTGATCGATTCGAAAGGTTAGTAGGGTTCTCAAAATTGTGCAATTTGGTCTTATTGCGATCACTTTTTTATTTTTTTGACATCGATTTCAGTTCGTAATATAATCTTGATTTTCTGTACAAAAATTTGAGCTTTTGTTGTTGATCAATTGATACTTTTTTTGACAATCGTTTGCTTTCTGAGAAAACGATGGAAACTGTCAGGAAAGAAAGGGAATTAGAATAGAATTATGGGTTATTATTCTTCATCTATACCAAATTAACAATTTTGTTATTCTCATCTCTTCATACATGAAAACAG